TTAAATAACCAAATTACAAGGACATATATTTTTTACTGCATTTTTTTGGAAGGAGCGTATTATGTTGTCTATATTTTCAGGCCATCATGAGTTCTATATTTAATATATTCGTATCTTACTGGATTTCTCTACTTAGGGTAATGGCGCCACCTCTGCAGATTCTCTCGAAATGTATGAGCAGGTCCTGATGAAGATGAAACCTTCAGTCACCTTCTCGAAGACCAAAGCTTTCGTGCCTTCATTCTACGAGGAATGGATCTTCTACCAGATAGGATTCAACCAAGCGGACGATCAATAACACGGAGCTTAAGGGTAGATGTAGTTGGGGCGGTTTTTACCATGGGGTCAGGGGGTTTTTGGTTTGACCTAAACCCAAAACTCCAATGACAAATCTTGTGTTTCACAAATTATTAAAAACCATTATTACATGATTACTTCACAATTCTTCACACGGAAACCGCCTCAAGTCTTTCTTATACTAAGTCATTACGTTAGGGTTTAAGATAAGGGTCAAATTAAGTCATATCCTACTTTGATACCAAATAAATGTCCAAATAACGTTTTGATTATATTTACAGTCGACATATACAAATGTTCTCAGTATTATTACTTGCTCACGACTATTAACAAGTCGGAAATTCAAAACAGCGACTTTACTTTATTTTTTAAATTACTTGAGGTATAGGTCGCGGAATAGATCTTTAGCGCTAAACGAATATAGTTGCGTATCTTTACAATCGCGCACTTAATTGATTGGAAAACATGACTTTACTCGAGAAAGACAATACGACTGAAGAACCAATAAACGCTAGCGCACATGACGTTTACTCGCCCCGCGCCCGTTTCCGTCCCTTCGATACCTTCTTTGACTTCTGCGCAGGATTCGTTCAGCGCTAAAGATCCGTGCCGCTACTTATATAATCTAAATTGTTGCATTTAAGCGTTGTTGACAGTATTAATTAGTTGTTTATTTTGTGTCATTACGAGAAAAGTCAGTTACTACCTTCTTGACGGTTAAAATCTTATGTTGATATGGCGGAAGTACCAAATCCGACGTTGTGACACGTGCGAAACTAACGAGCGCTTGTCGGAACCACAACCACCATGCATGTTGCATGTATAAAATTAATTAGTATTAGAGGGAAGTGCCATTTACGTCCTTGATCTTTTGTTGACAAGGTATGTCTATGGTATGTTGTTTGTATCTATTATTTAATAATAGGACAACAATGTTTATAAAATATTAAAAGAAGACATTTTCATCTCACCTCCCACAATCGCAATATACAAATATAAAACGTAATTATATTAGGTAATAATGGATGTTGTGGTGAAACTTGTAATCACGGCGTTAGTGACATTCTCTCGATTTGATGATCATCTCGTCATCATCATTAATAACAGCCTCCGAATTATTTCTTTTTAATTGAATCAAGTTCTCTTGCGAATTTTCCGGTAAAGGTGACGTTCGAGCAACTGAAACATAAGTTATTTTATTTAATAAAGACTAAGAACATTGTGGTATAAAAATCCGTCTTTGTTTATATATTTAACAATATATTATATACTATTGACTGTGAAACAAAATTGTTTCGACAGTCAAATTGTTTAAAAAACGCCAAACGATCTGAAATCTAAACAATGTCGGATATGGCACATACTACTATTTTTAATTGCGCATTAAAATAAACAAATAGAATAGTATTATTAATTTATAAAGTCATATATATATATATATTATATAATAAATTCAGAAATACCTGTTTTGACACTGGGGTTGACTGTGGATGAAAAATCTTGAGCGGCATTTAAGATAATTTCGCTTTTATTATTATTTTCTGTATTAGACCTTGTAACCACTTCGATTAAACTTTTTCTTATTAATGGCTGCCTACACAACGTCCGTTGCACCCGATAACAAAGTTGGAAGTGGCGCGTCGCGTGGCCTCACCCCAACCCCGTGATTTAAAAAAATCACTTTTACCCCGACATTGTAATTGGGTCGCCTATAAAATATGCGAAGTTACGCATGATATAATTTTGATTTCGGCTGATAGGTTTGGGGAACGTTCTATGTGATAAAAAAAATGACTAAAAAAGTTCCGACTGTTAATAGTCACTAGCGAACTATTTGCAGGCAGTTTTGAATGATATGAAATTGTACAGCAAAAAACATTTCAAATTTGGTAGCAAAATCAAAGACAAAGATATTACAACCATAAATGAGTTATGAAAGGGTTTAAATGAGATAATTGTAACGGTTTAAAACGCGAATTATATTAGTTACCAAGGCTACTGCAAAGCATCAGAAACGTCGGGTACCTAGTTAAGATTAATCAAAAATAAGATCATAAATTTCCCGTTGTGAACCGTTAAATGTCTGATATTTAAATGTGTACTAGCCGCGTATACTACAGACCATACTTTATAAGGGGTTGGTTCTCTCATTCCTGTAATCTGCACATATATTATAAAGGGGAAGATGTGTATTTTTGTGTGTACATTTGTAATCTATACAAATATTATAAATCTAAAGAGTTATTTTGTTTGTTTGAAAGCACTAATCTCGGGAACTGCTGGTTTGAATTGAAAATTATTTTTGTGTTGGTTGGACCAATTATCAAGGAAGGCTAAGGGTGCTTTATCACCAGGCATGTGCTATGCAGCTATGCTGCAAAGATTTGTTATTTGCGCTACAGAAATAGACTGACTGTTTTTAAGAAGCGTATCTTGAGGCATGTTATGTATCGATATAAAAAGACAAATAGCGGGGCGAAGGCCCATAGTAGGCACCCTTCCATATAAAACACATCTTCCGTTTCCACCAGTGTTGGGCTATGTCCACCAATGAATATGATTGGTATATATCCATCCATAGCATCGTAAAATAGCACATTCCAGAAAAGCACCTTGGAGCTATCAATCATCAGATCGCAACCAATAAAAGCGAAGAAAAAGTTGGAAACGTGGAAAAAACTGAGTAAATTACTAATCTGAATCTCACTACTAAGAACAGTTTTGCAATCAATAGAACATTTGCCGGGTCAGCAAGTCTGTACAGAAAAAAGACACAAAATAGTCCGTGGGCAACTTGTTAATGGAGCTTTTCTCTAATCTCTTATCCTCAATTTTCTACCTTATAGCCTGCGTCCCATAAGTCAAAAACAAGTTATAGTAAGTAAATGCTACCTAAAATAAGATTAGTATTATTTTGTTCCTGTATATTGACCAAACTGCCACGAGTCAGCTGTGCTAGACTTCTTATTTGTTATGTTCATGAAAATATAGTTATTTCATTCGATATTGGTTTTTATTTACTTATCAAGGTGCATGTTACAGCAAAGAATTTGAATACCATTTGCTTTGCCACAAATTATGTGCGTCCAAAGAACTGAATTGTTATTTTGACTACATTTAGACAGTTTTAAATCCATGGATTGTAACGAAAATAATAGACAGTTTACAATCTTGCTGTAACATACTAAACTAACTAATTTTAACGACCTACTAGAAATAACATACTTTAAACAGTAAACAACAAACTAGGTAACATCACTAACATGTATTTTGATTTGGTTAAATTGAAATTATTTAATGAATATAATTTTAAAAGTCAGCGTCAAGTAAAATAATTGTGTATGTTTTATACTTAATAGTAAAAGGCATTGTATTTAGTGTTTTTTCATAACTTGTTCTTATTTAATAGTTGTTTGAAAACTTTAATATTTTTCACATGTTATTGCACATGAAGGCACTGTATAATTTAAAAATCGAAAATAAATTGAAAATTTTTTCTACTCGGCATGACTTGAACCGGCATCGTCAGCGTTCCGTGCTGTTGCTCTACCAATTGAGCTACCGAGTCCTAGTACTTAGGACCTGCCCGAGAAAATATTTTTTTTAAATTTATTTTCGATTTTTAAATTAATAGTTGTTTCTAAAACAAAACTATAGCAGGTACTGATATTCAAAAAGTTACTTTGATAGAAGGTACTGATTCTGGTATTTTTTTAAATGTTATATACTAAACAGAGTCACTGTTACCAATCAATATGTGTTATCAGTTCTTTCCAAATACTTAATAATTCCAAAGACTTCATCAATTAAATTAGGTATCTATCAATTTAAAAAAAACATATTTTTTTTACCAGTTAAAGTACTATTGGTATGTTTGACATCTTAAATGGTAACTTTAGTCCTACAAGGTACTCGAACAAATAAACTCCAAAATTTATCAACGTATAAGCATTTAATTGCATAAATACAAAACACTTTTCATTATATTACATTATTCTGAGAAAATAACAAAAATAATTTCTTTAAACCTAAGTGTGTATTTTAAGTTGAAAACAATGGAATGAAGTCATTAGTTATTTACGAGCTTTATCTATTGTAATCTTGAAAAACTTGAAACTAACATTTGAAATTAACATATAATTGAATTTTCTTTAAAAAGCCCCATTATTAAAATTTATTCAGTGGTCATTATGTGAAAGAGTAAATAAAATTCCTTTCCCCGAATAATACTTCTACTTTTTGACTCTATTTACTCAAAAACTTGGACTGACCTGGAGGCCTTCCAGTTATATTTTACCTTTTAATTTATTCTTGTGAATAAAACTTAGTACCATCAAGAGATTAATTAATAATAATCTATAAATAAGGATTTATACACACTGACTCCATCTTATTGCCTGTATCACATTCACTGAAATCTTAAGATCTGTACAACTTATTCAGCTTGCCTTAACCTAGCGAGTCTCTGTGTAAGCTCGTCTTGTTCTTGTGAGACAACAGTAGCTGTTCCAATAGAGGTGCTTGGTATACCCGATGGCAATTCCATATTCAGTTCCAAACTGAAATAATTTATGAATAAACATTAATGATCAATACACTTCTTAAAAAGGATGATCATAGTTTTTATGTATCTATTTTAATTTTTGAGACAAAAATTAAACCAAGTTATGAGTAGGTCAAAAACTTAAGATAGATCATATATCTTAAGAAAATTTAAGATTTCTTAGTGCCTTAGTGCATTTTTAGGATCTATGAAAGGTTTGAAGGTAAATAATACATACCCAGCTTCATCCGCTACCTGCTGCAACAATGTGTCAACATCGCCCTGTGGAACAGTAGTGGTAGTTGTTTGCGACATTGCATTTTCCATGTATGAAGATTGTACATCTAGGTCCTCAAACTGGCTCTCAAATTTATCCATTAGGTTAGAAATCTTTTCTAAGTTCATAGATTTCATTGCTGCATCCATAGCTTTGACCACACCTGCCATTGACGTTGTAACCTGCAAAAGTAGGATGAAAGTAGGATTGCAGACTAAAAAACTTAAAATTAAATTCTCTTGACATAATACTGATGTATTTTTATTACAGCTGCCTCATATTGAGCATAAGAACTCAGGAATATTTTTTTAAAACCATACTAGACTGGAGTTAAACTCCAAGGTTTTGTAAATCATAATTTATAAGCATTAAACTAACCTTCCTAGTTGTAAGTGCCGTCTGAACTCTGCTTGACACAGCATCAACTCTAGCAGACATGCGGAGATAATTTAGAGCCTGATTCTTTTGTCTTATGGCGTTTTCTGCATGTATCCTTGCTCCTTCCATGTTTCCCTTTTGTATAGCCTTTTTCGCCTTCTCCTTTTCAATTTTCTCCTCTTTTTCGCATTTCTTTGAATTTCGCTCTAGCTCTTTTACAGCAAATTTTAAATTAAACAAATGCTCTGACAACATCAGTTAAGGAATTATGCAAAGAACTAAATCTTAATAAATAAGATGAAGAGATCTTACAAGTGATTTTAAGATAAATTCTATTTGAAACAAATACTTACAAATTGATAATATTTTATTTTTAATATAATACCTTATTATCTGATTAAAAAAGGCAATTTTAAAAAGGATACTTTCCATAGCAGACGAAGACATTTCGTTCCCCAGTTTGACGGTTTAAAAAAGACTTTTACAAAAAAAAAAGGTTCTTGGACCTTAATAGTGCGTCAAACACAAACGGGTGTTTTATTATTCACTTGGAAATGAAATTAGAGGAGATAAATCACAAGGTGAGTCACGATATTACAAAATACAAGCAAACAAATAGTCTACAAAGTACTTTGTACAAAACGATCATATTCTGCTGTCATTGTCAAATATGTCAATCTATTTAAGACTAACTTCTAACACCAAGGCTACCACACTTCGCAGTTCGCATATGTAACAGAATCAGAAACTAAATATCTTGATAAAACAATTAATGATGAGAATAAATATGTCTAACTTAGATCTAAAATTACAAGTAAATACCCTATTCATAGCCAATTACTTATTTCATATTCATGGTTTATATTATGAGGCATAAATATAATAATTTTTTATTACTTACTATAGATTCTCTTTTGAACGCATCTTTAATTTCTCTTCAGTTGGGACTACTGATTCTTGACTGACATAAAAGTTTAGATGTCACTTTTGAATTTTGCAAACAAAATAGTATCTGACTGACGTGAAGTCGGCTTTAGAATTTGGTTTTAGATTTTGGAAGTACGAGAAGAGAGCTGTGTGTAATAATCCGAAATATTTATTGAAATCTCCTATGAGAAGCCAGTTATCTTACTTATTTTAAATTTGTAGTGTTATTTTTTGTAAGGATATAGCCATATTTTTCGTAGATACTTTAATTTGTGACAAAAGTAATTTAAGTCGTATCAAGTCTAAAGGACGTTTGCTGGGCGTTAAAAGAAAATGGCGTGTGCTACACTCAAAAGAAATTTAGAATGGGATGCCCAGATGCCCACAAAAAGGCGCAGATGTGCCCCTCTTGCTGCAAGTTCTAGTACGAGTCCAGGCATTAAAATTAAACCCACAAGTTCAGTATTCGGCGAAGCCGTTAGTGCATCTGTACAATTTACTCCAGGTTTGTTTATTTTTGTTTAACATGTTCGTTAACAAAAGTCATTGTGTGTGTCTCTTTTAGAACGTTGAAAATGATTACTTTTTGCTAGGACTATATTAGGAACAGTGTTAATTGAGAAGTCAGCAGTATTGTTTTTCGATTATTTTCATGAATATTTTTGTCACGAAAGAGCGAGACAGATAGTAGAGACCGTTGTCTTGGCTTGGGCGTAATGCCCGTATTAGCTTTGTTGTTTTTTTTTATTAACTTTGCAGGTACTCCTGACGCCTTGTTGAAAATCTACTTAATATCAATAATTTTTTCTATTGTGTTGTGGCCGCATTTAAAATTGTATGCAAAATGTGAATACATAGTTGCAAATTTCTTGGGTTTATATTTTTAAACAATTACAAGCTGGAGGATTAACTACAGATTATTTTGTAGTACTTATTCTTATTAATCATAATTTATATGATGTATACAATTATTATCAATAACTTTATTTATTTGTACTAACAGTTTCACTAGTGTGTAAATATCTTGCACCTTGGTTTAAAGATTTTCAATTTATCTCAGTCACATATAGCTAATATACTACACTACCTCTGCTGCTAAATGGTTAAATGTGTTGATTAGCATTGCATTGCGTTAAGAGGGAGAGGTCCGTCCTGGGTATGAATCCAGGGGAAACAATAAAGTGTTTAGGTTAAGCAAGGCATGTAAGTCTGATTAAATTTTGTAAAAAAAAAACAAATCAGTCAAATGAACATGGAAATCATTGATTTTTTTGAATTTCTTATTATATGATTTTTTTATAGATATATAACTATCCATTATTGTTTTGTTAAAAATTTATATTGTTTTTTTGCTAAAGCTCCTTGGTATGACAAGCTGTTGTGGATTTGTTTGTTCAACACTATTTAAAGATTTCTTCAATCTGGAGGATATTTATTTTATTTAATTACTTCTGATATCTGATAATTACAGAACCTTGTAATCAAACAACAAAATTTTCCTGTCTATAAAGTTTCATTGATAATATATTTTTTCTAAAACAATCCTAAGTCAACAATGTCTAATCTTTATAGTATCTTGGGTCAATAGAGATGAAAAGAAAAATATATTCTATATACCTATCTAATTAAAGTGAGTTATTTAAAGGCATGAATGTCTACTAGCTCGTGACAGTTTTTGTCTGCAAATTCATAAAGGACATGAATTTAATTCATTAAGATTATTAAGTTACATGTAGCTTTTACTATGAATATTTTCTACCTAATTAAATTTGAAGCTCTAGGAAATCATAGCGAATTACTACGTATAATAGTTTTCAAATGATTTTAAGCTATTACAAAATATTATAGGACATATTAATAATTCCAGAACATATGGATCAGGAGATTTTCGATGCGATTGAACGTTTGAAGCGCCGTGGTCAGCTCCGGGTAGCATCTGGTACTACAGCCTCTAGCTCAAGTGGCAGCGAAGGAGATGCATCTCCACCCCATAACTCAAGTCGCCCCTATGCTCAAGCTAGAAGACTACACCAGAGCCCTCTATTTACATTTAAACAGGTTAGTGAACATTACAGCTGGAATCTACAATGAAAATATTTTTTTTTATATAGACAACTATTATTATATATTTTGTATTGCAGGCAAGTCGTCTAATATTGTTTATTACTATTGTCTTGGTGCTGTTAAGTATAGTACATATTGGAATCTTAAGAAGTATTTAGAAGATACCTATTTTGTATTTCAGATGTATTTCTTGAAAGTATTTAGTTTTGGGTATCTGAAATACTTAATTTGTATACTACATGCTATTCTGTACATCACAGTGAAAATATATTTAAATGATTTTGTGTTTAAAAATTCAGTTGCGCATGATCTGCCAGCGCATGTTGAGGGAGCAAGAGGCGGCTCTGCGCGCGGAATACGAGACTGCGCTCAGCAACAAGCTCGCCGAGCAGTATGAGGCCTTCGTGCGCTTTAACATTGATCAGGTATTGCAGTGTATTCATAGAAAGTTTGATACTATAGTCTTCCTGAGAAGGTAGTAGCATTTCAATGCCCACAATGTTTGTTAATAAATACATATATGTATATGCAATAGTAGAAATTAAAAATAAATATTACCAAGTGAACTTGGTGATAGGATATATACCCCCTTCTTTTGGTTTTGGACACTGGGAAATCCACTGGGAATGAAGCCGAAATGAGACTCGTCTTTTTAAACGGTGGACGTGATCCGGAAGGAATTTAGATATTCCTGCCACCCATTTATAATCCATGTTTCATAAATAAAAAATATAATTTGGTCCAGTCTTGGATCTGGTGATCGAACCTACGACAGGGTGTTTGAATTAGATTATATATCTCTCTTGTGAATGTCGAAAAATAAGTTAACTGAATGTAAGCTTCATTGTGAAATTGATTATTTGATATGTGCCCAGGTGCAACGCCGACCGCCGCCAACTACATGCATGCAACTCGGGATGGACGCTGAACACCACATGAGTCAAGATCTCGTACCCAGTTGTAAGTACCTAGATACTAGTAGTACTGCTACATATGACTCACTGAATGCTCTGTTATACATGGGAACTGCCAATATAACAGAAGATATTAATATTAAAGATAATAAATGATAAAGATTCTACAATGAAACCAGAAGGTGTAAAGGGTTCACACTAAGAGTTAGATTATTGAACCTTGCTTATTGAATGTCCTTTGCAAAGGGATTGGGTAAATTTGTTAGCAGAGAATGTGGATTAAGCATCCAACCTTCTACCAGTGTCCCTATAGTTACACAATCCTATAAACCTCTGCCTATTTTCTATAGAAAATAATAATATAAGTTACATATACCAAGCAATGCTCACTCTAATTTACATAATACATATAAAAGAGTAAATTGATTTGAATAAACATTTAGAATTTGCCTGTAAGAAAATATCTAACAAGGGTATATATTTCCTTGCAAGATGGTCAGGAGTAGTTTTACAAAAATACAATTTGTAGAGATCAGATATATTTGTATTTGACTATAAATATTTTTTTTTTCTTTTACAGATCTGTCCTAATAATCAAGAGTCTGGACTGAGCAGGATTGCGGTTATATCAAGACAAACATATTTTGGTATATGTGAATATTAAACGTGGGTTTATCATAATGATAGCCAACCAAAACATTGTGATTGCTAGCGGAACTCGCCTGCCAATCTTCTAGCCATCACTAACAGTATTACAGTTATCCCTTACAGCTAATTAATTTGTAATGGATTGACATTGAAATTTATCATTGGAATTTAATTCAGAATTTCAATCAGACTACAAGGTGAACTCCTTGCAAAAAACTTTTGTTTTAATGCTTGTTCCTTTGTAATAGTTCAAAGTAAATTTGACTTAAAAACACAAGTTAAGGCAGAATATACCATAAGTTTTAGTTACTTCTCACTTATAGCTGTCAAGATCTTGATTTAGGTGTAAGATAATTGCCTTCAGATTTCAATGTCAATTTCAGCATAAATTCAATTTCAGTACTACATTCGATCCCAGCAGCCGAGTTCTGCAGCTAACCTCATGCCACATACATAAACTAGCTTATAATGCTTTAGGTAAGATTTGCTGCATAATTGTGTTCATAGACTGAGGAGCGAATCATTTGGATTGTTTAACAGGGGTAGACAGTTATTTGTTTACGACCGATAGACTTAGTACACAAAATTCACAAAGAGTGCCTAATACATTCATTGTCCTCGTTCATTTATTTTATTAGTTAGCCATAATTATTATTTGTATGATTAATTTTAGTTTACGGACTTGATTCTGTTGTAAGCCGACAAAAGTAAACATTGTCTACATGTTTTTAGTCAATTTTGAAACTTGTACAGCAGAACCATGGCCATTTTGTCGAAATATAGTTGTAGTTCATAAAAATGTTTTCTTTTCGTGATCAAGACATCAATTGTTATTATGGACCACCACACCATATTTCTGGTGTTATGCATTCAAATTTGCAACCGAAATGCGTGTTTTTGATTTTTCTTTAATACAAAGGCTTCTAGATTATTTTGAATTTAGCTATTTATATAAGTTATTTCTCAATAATGTAATCAAACTTACGATACTGACAAACGCACTATGTTATTGGAGTTTCCTTTTATACTATTGTTTAGTTAGTAACAATTTATTGAATACAAACAGAATTTCATTTGTTACCAAGCATATTCAATAAAAAGATTAGGTTAGGTCTTTTTTAAATTGTATTATCCGCTCATTATTAGTAGACTATTGGCGTTTAAGAACTGAAAAAATAAACTAGCTAAACACCAATAAATTGTTTTTCATTTTTTTTATTAAATTTCTGATTTTTGTATGAAAGATATAATTTAATACGATGTCACATAAGATAACGCAATGCCTTAAGATAAATAGGCTAGGTATTTCAGAACTACTTGTCTTAAGTTCAATATTGAATTTGATCTAAAAATCACTAGTCATGAAAATACTTATGATTGAATATTTCCCTTGCTATATATTCTCTGTGACATTTAAGTGGATTTTGTAATCTGTCGTAGATCAGCTGTCACAATAAATTTGTAAATTGTCATTGCTTTGTTTATAAATTTTTCTATTGAATCCGTGAGAAGCTAGCAGAAAACGTCAACAATAATCAATATCATAAAACTTTTCATGAGTAATATTTAATGTTTAATTTCTAATCTAGATCGTTTTAATTCCGAAATGAGTTTTGATACGGCTGCCATAAACGGAAACGACAAACCCGAACGCAAGTGCTACGATCGTACAAAATCTGACGACTTGCAAATATCTAGGACGGATATGAATATGTTAATAATGAATTATTTAGTAACAGGTAGGCACAATCCCTATTGAAAGTTGATTATAAAACAACGTAAGCGTTATACACTAAAACACTCATGTTTAAATATCACACTCAACATGTACACGATACGTTTTTCTTTGTTCAGAAGGTTTCAAGGAGGCTGCCTTGAAGTTCCAACAAGAAGCAGGTCTACAGGAGCCTGCTCTGTGTAGCTCGTTAGATGAGCGGATAATGATAAGGGAGGCCGTTCAAAACGGGCGCATCTCTGATGCAATTGCTATGGTTAATGCTCTGCATCCCGAGTTACTCGATAACGATCGTTATTTATACTTCCATTTACAGGTGAGTGTAGTCATAACAAACTTACTATTATTATTTATTTCTAATAAATAGTAATTAAGTCCTTATACCATAGGAGGAACAATTATAAATGCAAGGTTTAGTCATTTTAACCTTTGATGGATGGTGATTTGGTATCCCACCTGACCCAACATGTTTCTAATTAACTTTTTTTTTTCCTGAAACAAATTGAACTTTGTTTGGAAATATTAAATGGGGTGTAGGTATATTGAAATTCCATCCAGGTCACAAACCACCACCCACTGATGAGAAGCTGTAAATTGTAAATGCGTTTTTTGGCTTCAGTCTGTGAATATCTGAATATTGCATTAACCTTGATTTAACGTTATATGGCTGAGGTATCTCACATACCATCAAGCTCCTATGTTTGTTTCTCCTCTGCTATCATGTATCATGTGATGGCACTATATTATATTATAATCGAAATAAATTGCAACAATGTTCTATATTAACTATGGTGTTTTGTGTGGTTTTTTTTTTTGTAAAAATATTTGTTATTATAGCAATTACAACTTCTGGAGCTTATAAGGGCGGGCCGAGCTGAAGAAGCATTAGCCTTTGCTAGTGCAACCTTAGCAGAAGCTGGTGCTAATGACCGCAATGCTTTGACTGAACTGGAGAGATCTTTAGCATTGCTGGCTTTTCCTGACCCGCATGCTTCACCTTTTGCTGACTTATTGCTACCATCACACAGTCAAAAAGTAAGACATGATGATAAAATCTAAGAAGTAACGAAAAGTTGTAGAACTATTTTTATAGACAGAAATTTATTTGATTCTTGATGTACATAGAGATTTCATAAATATGAAAGGATTTCAAATCAATATTAAAGGTAAAGGACATTATCGTGTAGTGTCACAATGTAAATCTCAATCAGAACTGTGTCACTAATGAATAATTTCCTGACTTATTTAGCTTCCATACACTCTTACCCTATGTCCATTTCAGATTGCCAGTGAACTAAATGCAGCCATACTAAAAATGGAAAACCAGGAATACACAAATCCAAAGTTGTGCAGTTTACTAAGAATGATTCTCTGGTCACAAAGTGAACTCGACAAGCATAATGTCAAATACCCTAAGATGACAGATCTTGCAAATGCTACAATAGAACAGCCAAAATGAAACTATAGATTAAAGTAAGATTTTGAGATAAAATAACAATAATTTAAGACAATTAAATCAGAGGTACAAACTGATATATATTATTGCTCCTATCTATCACCTTTCCTTGGCTAGGTTTAACTGCAAAAGGAACACAAGAAACTTGTTTTTACATATACTGTCTATAGTTAACGCAAGTAGTACACATTTAAATAAAACACTTTAACGGTTTAAAACGCGATATATTAGTTAAACTTATTTGAAAATGATTTTTAACTTCGGCCCGACGTTTCGGATGCTTTGCAGCAGCCGTGGTCACGGGGAGACCACGGCATTTTCAAATAAGTTTAACTAATATATCGCGTTTTAAACCGGTAAAGTGTTTTATTTAAATGTTTTTACATATTTCAATCACTGCAAGTATGTTTTATATAAAGCCACATATAAGGTGCAACATAGTCCTTATACTGATATTATTTGAATTGAGGTGGGACAGAATAAAACCATATTCAATATTTCACGGCACTTATATTGGGACTACAAAAATAAATCCGTTACATTTAGGTTTTACAATGATCTTGAGCGTTGACTGTATATGCCATCATCATAGGTGTATGTGGGTAATTTGGGCATCCTGTCCCACATAATTGAATTACTTATTCCATTTGTTATCAAATTCAGTTTTTGCATAGGGTGTTTGTCAATTTGTATGTAAAAAAGTTATAGCTAATACATGATATTATTCGTTTTTGGTAAATGGATTAGTGACCATTTCCACATAGTGACTAATATTAAATTACAGTTCATAATGACCATACAATATGATTTAGGTCCATTGTCTGCTATTATTACGCCTTGTCACACACAGAATCGTTTACATCCCATTACAATTACTCTTCAGTTCCATAACACCAGTGTTTAATAATGGGTAAAATGATCAGCAAATGGCCTGGACTGATCAGCCGGCCTTCAATTTGTTTCCAATAGAAAATAATAATAACACCAGTGATTATGCATACATGCAATTTGTAGAAGACACTTTATTGTTACAGTTCTTTGAAATGCCACAATATTGTGATTTTCAGACTTGGGACCGCATCCATAAACACACAGTGTTTAAACTTTTACAGTCCCACGTGAATCATATACTTATTTATATTTCTAGAATTATCAATTTTTGTATGCACGGGAATTCTGTCTGAAGTTTGGCATAATTGCTAATGTCTGTTAGTCCATTTTATTTAGCATATGTCACCAACTCAGCACATAATCTAAGGCTTTAGAAATAAGTCCACTTGATCTCTGAGGTACAGGAGCTTGAGGAAGTGGCGTCGGACATAGAGAACGTGCTTGTGTCGTTTGCCTGAAAATTAGTTTATAACAATTAACTTTATACTTTAAGATAAGCATAAAATTAAAGATAGGCTTAGTATTTGATTTGTATTGATGTCAGTAAAAAATATTTTAGTCACATGTTTCACCATATATTATAGCCCTAAAAAAGATTTTCTTGCTAACAAGTTTTCAGTTACCTTTCAGGGAGCATTCCAGGGCTCGGAGAGCTAAATCTTGGTGGATCTCTGCACTCCACAACTCCAACCATGACTCCCGGTAATATCTGCCTGCCATTTAATGCTAGTGACCGTTCTTTTTCGGCCCGAGTAGCATATTTAATGTGTGCCCAGTTACCCTGTGTTGGATACTGTTTGTCTGTAATAAAATAAGTAACAAATATGTATTAACAGAATTGACAAAATATGTTGACAATTTTTTAAAACGCAGGATAATAAAAATGGTTTGTAATGAAAATGCATAAGATTAATCTGAATACTAGGGCTAGATGCCAGAATTCATTTACAATTACCAAGTATAGCTCCACAATTGCTAAATCTTGCAAGTACTGTGTTAGCGGCATTGGGAGGAAAACCAAACACTGTGATCCAATATTCATCTTGTTCCTGACAGCCATCTTGCCATTGTGTTGTCAAAGAATGGTTATTTACAGACACATTGTTTGCATATGAGTTCTGCAAGAGAGAATTGCTGTTTCCATAGCCCAAAAAGCTATTTTCTTGGAACAATGACTTGTTTATTGAAGGTTCATTGCTTTTTATAGTGTCAAATAAATCTTCAATTGGTGGTCCACTAGGTTTTGTTGAAAATGAAACGTTTGGTGACGTGGGTATGTTTGAAAATACGTTTTGTTGGTTATATAAAGCTTGCTGGTGCATCGATAGACTTTGGCGATAGATTTTTTGGTCCGGTGTCGATGTTTGCGTTGGACTAGTAGGGGAACCTGGAAGATGTGACAGTTTTTGTTTAATGAACTCTTGTCGCATTAAAGGCCCATTAAATATGTGAACTAAGGCCGCCGAAATAACTATGGAAATTAAACTAACCAAAAGCAAGACTTCTTCCCTTTGTTGGAGATAAACTATTCGTTCGGGGCGTAGTTGGTGGATTTATTTCTCCTAACAGAAATGGTGGTAGATATCCCACGTTCGGGCTTCCCGACGGGGAATGAGTAGGACTGCCTAAAGTCATCGGTTCCATTATAAATGTTTATTTTTCTTTTTATTAGTTAACGCACAGTCAAAGAAAAATTGGTATATTTATTAATTTCCAGCTGAATTTAAATATCTTAAATACAAAATCGCGGTTACCGGACAAAAGTTGTATTAATATTGACACTATACAGCTGAGTGGGTACTGACATTTGTAAGGAATGACATATTGTCTGTGGTAAAACAATCTATGGATTGGAATAATGACTATCATTTTTTACATATTATCTAAAATCTATCTATATATATTATCTGGTTCACTAAAACGAAATAATACTAGTTTATCAAAAATTATAAAAAAATCTTTCTCAATTAAAACAATGTGAAAAATAATTAAGCTTCAATTTATAGTAATTCTTAGCTTGAACTTACTATTCCGAATCTATTAAAACAATTTAATGAATTGTGCTCATAGTCGTAATATTACGTCTATGAATGTGCTATAGAAAACAAGAGTTGACCTGAAGGGTGTACATACCAGGTCATAAAAACCCAAAAAAAAAAATCTCAAATAACAGCTTATCTATGTATCGAATAGGGTCTTAAGTCAAAACAGAAGCAAAAATCAAACAAATAAAAATGGATTCTTCTGTGAGTGAGGAATCTGAAAATAAATATTGTTTTAGCAAAAATGGTATATCTAATACCAGTTATAATACTCAAACAAACATCACAAATAGTAAAAATAATATTATTCATAAGTTATTCAATAGAGAGGTGGGTATCATAATGTTATTTTGATGGCTAGAGACTATTCGGGAATTTTATTTTTCATTTATATAAATGGGAAGAAAATATATTAGCGGACTTGATGGAATATATTAAATAACATGTTTATTTCCACACTGTTCAGGGACAATCAAGTGTATTTAAAAGAGGTATTTTATGTTATTTTCCAGATTTCTGGTAGCACATCAAAAAAATCAAATGAAAGACGTCGAAAAGTATTCGAGAAAATACCACCACGGTTGCGGTTTTGTCTCATGGACATAGTTCCTATACGGTACTTAAGAAACCATGTTTTCATGGGGTTTTCGCAATGTGGTCAGTTCCTCCTCAGTTTTACATTTTGCGGTCCGACCAGAGATTTTGGAGAGAGCCTTAAATACAGGTAATACATACAGACAAGAAAAAATACAAACGGTCATTGATAGAGATAGTTTACACTAAAAGTGATCACTTAAATTATTGGGTAATTACATAATTTATTGTAAATGAAAATAAGGTTTTTACAATTTATAATATTTTTGAGATTGATAGCTCTAAAAGTAAAAACACTGTTATCACTAAATTATATTATACTGTTAATATTTCATAACTGGTAGTAAATATAAATTTAGAGTCTCATTCTTAACTTAATTTATTCTCATACAGTTTTCCCCATGTCTTGGAGGAGCATATTAAGCTAGTATAAGTCATAAATTAGTTGCTTAATTTGTTAAACAAACTAACCCATACTGGATCAGGGTTGGGTCTATGCTAGAGGGTGCATGTACCTAGCCAGCCCAGTGGGACATTATAGTTTTGAAAGGAACAGTTGGACCAATAAACTATGTTAAGACATAGAAGATAATATGTGTTATGTACGCCAAACTAGACCTAGTTTGATAATTTTTATTGATTTGTTTACAGATTACATTTTCTCTCATGGGTGCCAGGTAGAGTAGTAAAACCAGTACACAGTGTACCATTATTTGGAGATGACTTTGTGGACAGCAAAGTGACAATATCTATAGCCCAATGGAAACACAATACTGGGGTGTTAGTTGTTTATGGCATTGCGTAAGTTAAAAATTGAAAATTAATTTGTATAATACTCACAATTAAGTCTATATTCTGACTGGATTGTATAAGTGATATAGATTATTTTTATACAGTCAATTTATTTCAGGAAACACGATTCATATACAGATAGGTCCCACCTCAGTGTAATTGGAGTGCCTAAATTAGGATGTAGGAAATGTTCTGCAATGTCTAATGAAGGTAAACATTTAAATTCTTCTAACATAATCAATTATAAGCTTACCAGGGCCAGAAGTCTTTGTATACAGTATTTTACTTCTAATAAAATCCCTAGCTAATTGCAAGCTCTGTCAATAAATATATATTTTTTTAATGTAATAAATACTGACAATTAACAAGCTATATTTATGTGAATCAAAATCTTGTTACATAAACAATATTCATTGTTCTATAATTACTTAATTGTATGTGTAGTATGGGTTATAAATAATAAAGTTATAACAAATAAATACTTTTTGTACTTCCTAAAGATGTTCTCCATCCTACATTGAAATAAATATATGGTGTAGGCAAGACTTAAACTCACAGTATTTCATGTTGGTTTTCCCCAAATTGAGCTACCCTAATCATTTACTATGTTATATTTATATAAGTTCTCATCTGTAAATTATATGGATTCAAATATTTATTTTTCTTTTACATCAATTTTATTGGAAAGATTTGTATAAGCAAGCGGAATAAAGCCTTATTTAATTTAATTTAGTTTAGAGTTAAAAATAACATTGTTTTATAACATTCCCAGATGACCTCAGGTGGGGACAGCGATGCTTAGAACACAACTTTGCGATACACACGAAATTCTTCTGCACCTCAGATAGTAATATGTATGAGCCAGTAGTGCAACTAGCGTATTCAAATCAAATTGTTATATACACAGATTTTATACACATCCTTGAAATTGATTTTGTCAAACCTGATCAGGACAATGAACCTACAGAAGAGGTGCCGATGGATAAAGATGATGTGCCAGCCGCAGAAGTTCCTATTTCAACTGAGTGTTCCGCACCGTTCCTATCCCCCAAATACCAGAATAACGTGGTCCAGAACATCATAGCGGATTTCACCGATCTAGAATTTGAGCCGCATCAGATCCCTCGCACTGTCCACTTGCCGGACATGATGGGTCAAGAATTATGCATTCAAGCATCCTCTATATCGCACAACCTAATGGACGAATGGGAGGGGCCGTCCTTATCCATCAGGACATTGATCAGTCCACCGCTCCGTTCCCCGAGGAGAATGCCGGCAGAAAGCATGTCCAGGTTTAACGAGTCGCACCGAGTTATAGCTGAGAAGGCTTACGAATTCGTCGAAGAAGCGGACACCAAATGTGAGAAGCTTAGTATATTTAGGAAACGGCGGCTCGCTGACAAGAAGTATGAGTTTTCAGAGGATAACAACGAGAATATCGTACCGTTTAGGGTTTTAAGAAGCAACAGAAAGTATTTCACAGGGTCCACTAGTAAATCGCGGAGAGCGAAGTCCCCGTCGGTGGAGAGCGTGCTGAGAGCGCACAACCAGATCAGTAGACCACCGTCTCCGACCACCAGCTCGGATTTGAAGGCCCTATCGATAGATGTGGACAGGAATAGTGAATCTGAGTATAGGGTTATGGAAATGCTAGACGACGGGTCGCTGAAGACGGTGTCCGTTCACGACAACACCTCGAAGACCCTATCAGACTGCCCTGTCAGTCCGCAAGATCCATATTTGGTTCATTCGGAGAATTCCAAATGTAGTAAATTGTTCACCCGCTATTTCGTAGAGAGTGATGATGAAATTACCTCAATCATAACGGATGCTGACGGTGAGTGTTAAAGAAATTTTTTTTCAGATTTCAGGTGTTACTATTTGTCCATTGTTTGCAAAAAGAAAATCAGGAAATGGGTGTATTATATTTATTATATAGTAATAATTTTTCCAATCAATTTTTCTGAAACGTGTTGTACTTCACCTGGAAATCTGGATATTCAATGTGTGGGAATATCAAATTTCCATCAGGGTTACAAGCAACCGTCCAGAGATGAAAAAGCCGTGAAGTTAATCGCGTCTCGGTTTCAGTCTGAATTTCTGAATATCTAAAGCTAAAAATAGGTCGACAACACATCTTGTTTAGATGTTATATGGCTGGGTTTTTTAACTAACCATCGAGTGAAATTCGTGCTTATCTGTCCTACTCTATCACAAAAAAATGCAATTCATTTTAGTTCGCAGTACTTATAATGTATGTATACTTTTTGACGGACCTTAACTTGTTTTTTTACAACAGAATTTTTCCATGTAATTACAGATGATTGCCTATCGGGTTACCACGTGACGTTACCACTAGACGGCCATGGGGCGAACTACACTCCCCTCCAAGTGATCGGTTCGGGGACTTGGGAACGATTACGTAGCGCTTCGCCCCCTGCCCTACCCCCGCTTACATTAAGAGCACAGCAAAGGTTGGTGTTGTTTGTTATCAGGTATTTTTCAAAGTATATTCAAAGCTGCCCATTTTAGGCCACAAGGTAACAATGGATTTCGAAATAGGTAGTAACAGACCTTCAACTTTATATAGATTTGTTTGTTTGAATGCGCCAATCTCAGGAACTACTAGTAAAATTCTTTACGTGTGAGTTAGAGCATTACCGAGGAAGGCTATGAAACATCGCTACGACTAATAGGAGCGAAGTAACAGCGAGAAATGTGGAAAAAACAAGGAATATGATTTATCCAAAATTAATTTATAAAGAATGATCCGTCCTTAAATCATCTAAACAATTGTTCTCGACATTATATATCAATTTTTTAAGATTAACTTGCAAGAGCGTCGGATTCCGGACGACGTCGTGGGTAACAGCTAAAATTTTTAAAACTTAATTCAACGGGAGGTTTGCAATAAATTATGATGCCTAAAATAACTATTCTACGTGGACGAAGTCGCTGAATATTAAATAACTATTCTTCGCCCACAGGTCACTGGATACCGAGCTTCTGTGCAACGAAGTGTGTGGGCGGCTTTGCAAGATCAACGGCAAGAGGTTCATCTACTGCTTTGATTGGGGTTGCCATGTCATCGATGTTTGCCAGTCGAGTGGATGTCTCTCTGGGGTGAGTGGGTGTTGTGTGTTTAATGCTTAAGATAACTTGGTTTTTATGTGCTTATTGATGTAATTAAATGCTGAAAAATGTAATTTATGTATTTCCTATGTTTGTCTATGCAATGCGATAATCTGTAAATTGTTGTTTACTCACTGTGTCATAGAACATTTAAAATTTATATAATACTTAATATTATCGTGACATCATTAAAACAATTTGAAAAAAAATAAGGCTGCAATACCAGAAGTAATTGTCACTTGTTTGTTCTCGTTAATTCTCCAAAAACTTATAAGACTTAATAAGTAATTAAATGTTTTTGTATAATTACTACTATACGTAGCATAGTCTGTCATTATATCTATACTAATATATAAAGCTGAAGAGTTTGTTTGAACGCGCTATTCTCAGGAACTACCGGTACGAATTAAAAAATTATTTTTGTCTTGGTTAGAGCATTTATCGAGGAAGCTATATGCTATAAAACATCGCCTTGTAACGAATACAAGCGAAGATACAGCGAAAAAATGGGAAAATTATTCATTCAATTATTCGTTTCCGAGTTCATGGTTCCCCAAAAGTATGTATGAAAGAATGATTCTAGAACGACGGGAAGGGACGCGACCGACGTCGTGGGTCACAGCTTAAGCTTATAAAGATGAAGCGGTTTTTTAAAAAACAAATTTAGATGCACAAAAACAAATGTTCTTAGCGGACGAAGTCGATGAAACAGCTAGTTTACTATATTTATTACGTCACACGTCACAGTCCTGGGGTCGTACCTGAAAATCAGTGTAGAATCTTGTGCAATTTTTTATAATAGTAAATAAATAATGACTTCTTCCTTTTTCATTATTGAGAGTCTCTTTTATAACATTCATAACAAAGTTAGTTTGTTGTGTAAATATTGATTTTGAACCAAAATAATTTATTGTACTGATAGTGGATTACTCTATTTTAACATATCATGGATTTGTTTTGTTCAGCCGAAAGACTTTAATTAAAATATATCTTTCAGTTGTGCGCCATGTGGCTATGGGCGAGCGATGTGGTCAAGAGTGGGGAGGGCGAGTCCTTGTGCTTGGCATGTGAAGGTGCCGCCGGGGGCTGCGTGCAACATCGACTACAATACGCCGCTGAGGTAATTTTTTTAACGAAAGACCGACAAGCAGTATGTGTAACTTGGTGATGATAGGCAGTAATCCAACCATATAATACTTGATGCGCCGTCAACCCATTTTGCATTTGGATATTTGGAAAATCATAGACTATAACTGAAACGCGATTAAACTTTACGCCTATTTCATATGTGGACGGATTTTCGATATTTCCATTTCTCCACTGAATATCCAGATAGATATATATTTCCAGATGACGTCTATCATGTTTCGCAGAAACACTATAGATTTTGAATGATATTGGACCCAGTGGAAATCGCACTCGCGACCCATTGATTACTAGTTACCATTGAGCCCACTTCAAAATTCATATATGTAAAACTTATTAATATTAAAAAGTATACTTCTAAAAAGCCTTTAATAAAACACCTACGTGGCTACGTGGTAGATGCCAACCACGTCGCACCAAACACGAGGGGTCCTGGGTTTAAATCCTTGGAAAACGACTACGTGTCAGTAAATACGTCACCCGTCACTTTTCTCTCGTTTCTTCAAATGCAGTCGAACAAATAATATAGTTATGGGCTATGACGTTCGTTTAAGAACATCTGCTGTAAAAAAAAACTACACCAAAGACTTAATTAATTTATAAACATGTGTTCTTTTAGTGTCTGTTCGTATGGGACCTTGTGACTGGTGTGTACAGGACTGAAAAAGTTTCAATGACGGAAGATGACAGCCAAGAAGGCAGCAGAGGTGGGTATATTAAAAAACTTGCGTATTAATCTTGTGGATTTTTCGATATATTGGAATAATTAGGGAATAATTTTATACTATGTAGTGATTATTGAAATATATTTTACTCTTTTTCAGTGTCGAGCGCAGAAAGAGCTCGAGAGTTGGCCAAAAAGCTTGGACCCATCAATCTTCCACCGCATGACATTCGGCTGCTCACCACGCTCTCGGGTAACTTGTCAGGGGCCACTTGTCCTTTTCATCTTATCCTACTTCTATATAGAATGCTGCGCGTACCGCTCACCCAGGCGGCTTCCGCCCAGCTCCTCAAGCTCCCATCCGCAATGCAGTGGTCCAAGCCGAGGTGCACCGGGGCACACGAAGTTCCTGGCCCATACATTATAATCCGTCAGAATATCTATCTATCTAAAATATTTCATTACACGTAGACTATTAATCTACTTGAGTCACATATTTTAGTATTTAAATACTATTCATTAATTTATAATCCACGACCTTCGAAATGATAGATTTAATAAAAAAAATAGTCTCGCTTAATTATTTATTGCGGAATTTTATTAACCTAAGTTTTTAGTACGATATAGACAGAGCAAGCATATGGGCGAGATAACATGAGACTGTCCGCTTTTTACAGTTAATTTCTTTAACCAGACGAGTTATATATGTTTTATTTTTTATTTTTAGGTAAGTCACTAAGGAAAGTGACCGATATGGACAACTGCATAGAAATCACCAAGAGCTACGAGGACAGCTCCGATTTTGAATCTTCAGACGAGGACAGCTCCGATTTTGAATCTTCAGACGAGGTCATCTCCGACAGCGAATAACTTCGTGTATCCGTCTCGCTCTAGTTGTGTTTGTGTGAAAGGGATTGAATGTTACTGAATAGTATTTTATCATCACAATATATGTCAAAACACAGACATTTAAACAAAACGCTATTGGAGGCGAAAATGGGGAGTTGATTTTTTATGAATTATGGGGGTGTTTTATGGAGATGAAAGGTAGCTTTTCTACCGATCATTAGCTATTTGGTAACTCCCAACGTTTTTTAATTATTTGGTTGGTATTTAGTTCTTCTATAAAAGTTTAAGTGTAGAGACTAGTCCAGCTACTTCATTACCCCCCTCCCTATAATTTCAACCCTCCTCCTATTGGCACGCCAATATGGTTGTTCTTTAAGTGAATCTAATGTGAGTGTGTAGTAAGTCAATGAACTGTAATACAGAAAATAGTCATTCTTATAATATATATATATATATTAACAGCGTGTAAAGCTGTAATCATCAGCTATATTTATCAAGTTTGTTAAAAGCTAGAACTTTTAAAATATATACATCATCATATTTCTAAACAATGGTTCTTTACATTCTTGTACAAAATCGATGAGTTTCTTCAAATCATTTTTTCTTAATCATGAGGGCAAACAAAAATTGGTAATGTTGCCATATTATGGATAAAATGAAAAATATCTATAAGTTATTAAAAGAAGTCTGGATAATAGTTTATGTATGAGAGGCGATGAATGTTTGTTGGAGACTGTGCTTTTGTATAGAAACAAATATGGTTGTGTGCTTTGATACTGGCAATATGCAGTGGTCTTTAGAGACATATTTTGTAAATATTCCTTTTTATTTTTTTGTTCATCTATAAAGGTACCCTTGAAAATTGTGTTAGATAAAAAAGTTATTGTAAATGGTCAATGAAATAGACAGTTTTCACCTTTAAAAATCATTACTATACTCCATTTGCTATACTCAGTTTCAAATATTTTATAATAGGTACATATCAATTTATAGATGATCAAAAATATAAACTGTAATCCTAGATGTACTCAATAAAAACTTCTCAATGGATAAAGATATTGCATTTAATAATAATTAAGTCACAATGTGAAATAACTTGCCATTGAATTGTATAATAGTTATTATAATACAAACAATAAAGACTTTTGAAAATTCTATGTTATTATCCACAATACTTCTAAAGTTATAAATGTTATCTACTCACAAAATTTTCTATGTACTCAATTTGAAGCATATACAGGAACTGATACTATAGCAGAAACTGACAACAAAGATAGACATGGTGGAATAGACAATAACATATTGTAACACAGCACTTAATTGATGAATAGAAAATATTAATAATTTTATATATGCAGAATTTCTTAATAATTCAATCATTGTACAATAATTTAATACACTGATGGTAAGTCAGTAATACTAAATCTAAGGTTTAATAGGTCACAAGCCCAAGCTATCCTCACATTCCCCTTCAGACTCACTTAATGGCCGATAATCACCAGTTTCATACATCAGGATGTCTGTCGCAAGTCGTTCTATGTCATCCCAGGACATTTTATTGAATTTCTCCTCAGTTATCTGCACCAATCGTTTAGCTGTAGACTTTGCTTGATCGTCAGGCATGCCCTTTTCTCTGAAGAATTTAGCGGAACCTTCTAATAACCCTTCTGCTTTTCTAACCAACAAATGTAATTTGGTGCCATCCTTAATGGACGGGTATGAACTTATTGGCTGCTCGTCAGCTAAAGCTCGCCCCATATATAACAGTTTTTGTGAACATACTGATATCTTATGCTTTAGCGCAATATTTCGTTTGATGTCTATGACTTTTGTTGAATCTTCTACCTAAAATTTAGAAAATGTTTAGTTGCAGCCTTTGCAATTAGGTACCATTTTAATACTTACCATAATAGAGAGTTCTCCTCCTTGAAGTTTTTTTATTATAATCTGCATATTTTTTACTTAATTGGAACAAATGCACGGTTTGCACATATAGGTCTTGTGGATTAAAATAGCGTAAGTGGTTGAAAGGTGGTTTTAAAATTATGTGAACAACAATTGCAATTCAAAAATTACGATATTTATGGATCTATAATTCACCATAACCCCGCTAACTATTGTTTACATTTGTGTTCATTTATAATTTATATTAACTAATAAAAGCTGATAATATTATTGTGCAGTGTGCCATACTCTTCTTCAATAAAGTGTCATTTTTGACAATTTACTTATGCTCTGCACAGTAGTTTGCCACAGAGTATATGTACTATTATAACTGTACATACATATTACAAGTTTCGTTAGTTTTTACATTTTAATTCGAAGAAAGAGATATGATTTATTTAATTTGTCCCTCATTTTTTTTGCTTTACCTAAATATTTGTTTCTGTAAGTATTACTTAGTAGTCTTTATTAAAGATATAATTTTGCTTTTTATTTCTAAGTATAGGCCACATAGATTTTTAATTCACTATTTTAACATTTTTAAAAAAAGAATGTCAAAATATCTACAAAATGTATAAATATTGACTTTTGTTATATTAATGAAATAAATAAAATTAATTACCTTGGTGATAATAAAAATTAACTTTTGTTTACTTAACTGAAATGGATACAAAAAGCAAACACGAAGAAAATAATAACCGAATAGAGAAAAAAATCGATACAAATAAAGATTTTGATTGCGATATAATTTATTTTTTAGACGAGGATGACATTAAAGGTATTTTTATTGATAGATGTTATATTAAAAAAGAAAGTGCATAATATTTAATAAATAGATACTATTAATTTATGTAGCCTAAGTAATGTACGTTTTTTGTCATCATTGCATCATGAAAGAATTAAAATTTTAACATCATCCAAACGCTACTAACGCTTCCCTTTATAGTATATGTACTTATAAGATATTTAATTTTGATAAATATATAACATTGGTAATTTGTAACGCAAATGTTGCAAATAGTTCCACATGTCTGGTGATATAGATGCAAAAACAAAAAAATTATTTAAGGAATTCTTAACTAAAATCGCTTCCCAGGGTTATTTCTAGGAGATCAATACAAGACATGAGACAGTTGTGCCGTTTGTTATAAGCGCCATCTCGTGTTCGAGACTTAGTCATTTTTTTTGTTTTCCGGCTGATAGATCCGGGCTGGCTGCATGTATCTACTCCGTAGCCTAGGAAACGGGTGTAGCTACAACAACATCGCTTGTGTTACATAAAAAAAGTATTTATTCTTATAACAAATTGATTTTTTTCTCATAAGTAAATTTTTTCCCTTCAAAAAAATTCAAGGTACATAAAGATATCTTAGTGATGGAAATAAAAGCTGCATAGTATGGCTGGCAGGTTGGTTTCCTTGTGATATTTTACGCATTTTTAACGTTTTTAAAAGTATGTATGCGAGTCTTTGCCGCGTGCAGTCCCCGAAATGCAAGATTACGTATCTATTGCTATCGGGAATTAGGGTTGACATGGTACCTGGTACCGACCGTTCTTATCACGCACACATTGAATATAAATAGGCAAGGGGATACATAGAGAAATAATTGTTATAAAAGTAAAATACTACCATCATACAATGGTTAGTTTACAAGTCTTACAAATGAAATTTAAACAACTTTGAATTTAGAACACATAGAAAACTTGTTATATTTTTGTACTTAGATACAAACATTGTACAAAATCAAACAAGTAACAACTAAATATTACACTGTGTTATTATCAGCATATGCACTCAACCATGCATGTCACACATGGACAGGTGGTGTCACTGAAGCGGAACACACCTGCACTACCCCACCAACAATAATAATCAGCATTACAGTAGCTTAGAAACCGTTGTTTAATCAATATCAGTATTGTTATTCGAACGGTCCATAATGCTATCACTCCTATAACATATTATGTTGGAAATGTCTGAGATCGGGCTGGAAAATGTGTTTTATCTCGAAAGTGAGTTGTAATACTTGTAGATAGGTAAAGTGGGATGGTGTTGCCTGGAAACACTCCTCGGATACTCCGCACCCAGTCGGAGACAGATCAATAACATCTCAACCCCGACGGGATGGTGTTATGCAAAACTTTACATTGCTTCATTTTAATTTACTTCTAGATTAATTACATATGCTTTTAATTTATATGATAGTACCTAAAATGTTTATAAAGTTGAATGAACACTTTAGTGCTTGTTTTTCTACACATATATGAATTACCTGTTTTTCACTTGTTGCTACTGTAGTACAAGAAGAATTTTTCTTATGTCTTAAAATTGTGCTAGTTGGTTTTAAAAATGTTTATCTTTCTATAGATGTTGTTCTAAAATTGCTATATGTATAAAAGAACAAAACAAATATCATCTAATTGCAATCATAGATTGAAGAATGGGTAGATTTTGTTACCGAAAAATGCATTGCAGGTAGCCGGAGGGTTGTTACATTTAATACCCAATTAATTAGTTCAAATTGATGGGGCTGTATCTACTAAATAATGTACTATTTTTGATATAAGCTTTTATACATGTTTTATGTACAGTAAACATTTTATAATCTGTTCCTTACTGCTATGTTTTTGTTAACATTGTATTTGTGTACTGTGTATATTTGAATTGATTATTTAAATGAACAATATAATTTTTTCAGATTGGTCAAAGTTCAGGTAGAATTGCTAATGAAATTTATTTTTTTACTTACTGTTAAAGACAGTTGGTTTTGTGTTGTGTTACAAATTACAATTGTTAAAAAAACAATACAAATTTTTAAGAGAATATAAGATTATCCAAAATGGTTTTAACTAGTCAATCTTTAATATGGACTGCGTTTTTGGATTTTCGTTTAGCCGTTTTTGGTCAGGCATTTGCTCAGTCGCAAAGTAGGTAAAATTATCTATACATTGCACATATTTTTTTTAAAGGTGTGTTTATTTTTACTATTTCTAACTTGATGGTGGTTGTGATCGGCTCCGAAATGTGCTGGATATGAGTCAAAAAGCCAATAGAGGAATTACTAAAGGATATTTGTAATGTTCTCGTATGGGTGTTCCAGGCTTTGACTGCGCGGGCGACGAGGTGCTTGTGGAGTCTTCGCCGCCCGCTTCCCCCGAAATGGCGGCCCAATTGGCCCAGCCGACGCAGGTTAAAATTTATTTATTTGCTTACTTGACATTATCCTTGACTAATCTCGACTATTTCTTTTTGAAATTGATTTAACTCTGTAAATAAAAAACTTACACCCTTTATAGCAATTAAAGAGGGGGATGTCTTCTTCGCGTTTGCGACATCTATATTTATATTTTTGATTATGACTATCTTAATTATTTCACCAACAATAGACGAGTTTCTTCTTCTGTTTTGTGAAAATAATTTTCTCACTCTCTCTAACAAGTGAGATATAATTTGCAGGGCACAAGTGGTGGCAGTCCATCGCCAAGTGCGGTGCGGGAGTTGATAGTGATACCAGAAATACCAAATGGCATCAATCTCCAGCATGCCATACAACAGGTATTTATGAGTTCATTTACATCTATGGTATATGGGGTATTTAGGTTTCTAAGGACATATTGACTCAAAAAAACATTTTCAAAGCCTTTTCAGCCTTATTTTTATTTACTTGTTTAACTTTATAAAACGGCCAAGGATTCAGGCTACAGAATCATTTTACTGATATATTTCGTAGATACTAAAGTTGTGTAGTTTGTCTGTAGTTTAGGACAAAGGTAAGTTTTTAAAGGGTTATTTATGATCTTATTTGGATACGCTAACACCAATTTTACAATTAGACTCCGAAATCCTTAAACTTAGTTTTTGGCGTTTTCTTCAAATAGTAATTTTCGTAAAGAAGTTTGGGATATTAGATTAACTTACTTACTTTATTACTCGGTTATTAAAAATCTTTATTCATTGCTAGTTAAATGACCCCAACTAAATCTTGCACTTCGTCTTTCAGGATACCGTTGTTCTGTGATCTAACGTTTCCGATCGCAACAACTGAAAACTTTTATATCAATCCCGTATTTTCCTTGGTAGGTCTCAACATCAGTGGTGGAGGTAAATGGTGACAGCTCGGGCCATTCGAGCCCCAATAACGAGACGCAGCATACTTATATAGTCGCAAGTGAGTGTTACATAGCATGCTTCTTAATTGTGGATTTAAAAGTAGAGAAACGGCATATGAGAATAAACGAGAAAGATATTCTTCTGTAGTAAATAGGAGTCTGTTATGGTAGAATAATTGGCCCATACTTATAAAAGTTAAGATGATTTGTAAAACGAAAGAGAAGTAGATGAAAAGTACTTAACAATGAATTTTGTCTGTCTTCTGATTATTTAAATAATTTCAAACTATGTAAATTCACTGATGATTGAAATGAAAACCCTCTAGCCAAGAGAATTTTTTAAATTGAAGACCATACAGTAAGTTTACCAATTCAGCTTACCAAGTTATTAATGAGTGAGTCCTTCATCTTGACCTAACCTCTTGGTCCTTTACCCTTTCCTAACGTGTCGCCATATTCACAATCTGCTTCTTGGATTTCCCCCGTATCCATTCTGGGTATACCCAATTAGTTAATGCTCATCTATACAAATCTGCCTTTTCCGTCGCGTTATATGCCCTTGGCTAGAAGGCGTCGTAATTTGTGAAAGTTTCTTTGCACAAGCATGTCTGTTGCTTATATTAAGCACTTAGCACATTTATTTGTGTGATGCACAGTGCAGAACATCAAGACGGAGCTCGATGAAGACACAACGACTATCGACTTCACCTTAAAGCAGGAAGAATGCAAGTTTTTCGCTTGAATTTTTTATTTGCCTTTTTCGCTTTAGTTGTACGCTTGGGTTATGCTTGGGACGCTTAAATAATGCTCAACTAATGGAAGTGTTTCTATATGCGCCATTGGACATAGATATCATATACATCACATTTGTGTTGCTACAAACTGAATTGGGGGATGGGGTCTTAATATTTTTAGTTCATCTATTGACTTTTTAGATCCAAATGTACTTACTTAAAAATCGGTTAACGCCCTTTTACAATTGTGGCACCTCAAAAAAACCACTTTTCCTACATACAATACGGGTAGTAAACAACTTGCAATGCTTCAAACAAGTTTTTCCTACTACATGCGTACGAGTCGAAATAATCAAAACAAAGCCGAAACAAACAGAAGTCTTGCAACACCAAAACAAACATCCCCCTCTGACATTTAATATCTGATTATCCTACCTGTCGGCCTGATACCTATTAGGATGCATCAAATCAGTTCACTACGCTATGCTGTACGAAAATCGCCCTTCGCTTAATGGGATGGCGTTGTAATTCATATGCAGTGGCAATCGGGGTGTGGATTTCAATAAAACTCTTAATAATAGATAATTGTGTGTGCCCCTTCGGATTATCTACCTGAATGATCATTATCAATGTGCGCATGAGATAATGTAATAGTGAAATGCCCACCTGCTCTACTTTGATATTGCGCGGACCGCGTCTGATATTCCTTTGTCGGAAACGTTATGAGAATTGGCACGTGCCGCTCGAATTATTTTCTAAATGTTCAAACGATATGTGATAAAGAAAATCATACAACACTTAATACCTCTATCTAATTCTTATCTTTTTTTTCGAATAAGCCTCATGTATATATTTTTTTGTATTTCTACCGTTGTAAATAGTAAGTGGCATTCTTATTATAAAGTTAACAATTTTACTTACGGTGTCCTGAATCGTCTTAGCTTTATCAGTAAAAACCCGTGGCCCCTGTGGGTCGTGAGGCAAACACTTTTTCCGTTTGTCTGATCGGTCCTTCTCGAAGAAAGTAGTTCATCAGACTTCTATTGCTTCCCCGGTATTCGAATCTAGGTCTCTCTCGCGCTTAAAGAAATGCTAGGCAATACGTTTAACCATTTACTTACCGAGACTTTTGTTTATTAACAAAACAATAAATGTAAATAGTGGTCATGATTTAAATAAAACACTTTAACGGTTTAAAACGCGTGGTCACGGGAAGACGTCACGGCTGCTGCAAAGCATCCGAAACGTCGGGCCGAAGTTAAAAATCATTTTCAAATAAGTTTAACCTATATATCGCGTTTTAAACCGTTAAAGTGTTTTATTTAAATGTGTACTAATCGCGTAAACTATAGACAGTGGTCATGATTTTATTCACTTTTTATTTAATTATTTTAACTTATAACCAATACGATTGTGAATGTATCCATTATTGTTAAGGATTTTCCAGCTTAACAAGAAATGTGATACAGTCAGCTCATAACAATTGCCCCATTCCATAAATTAATTAGGGTGTCTACCCTTTAGCCGAAAAATCAGCCAGTACAGGTGAAAATAAAGGATATGGTGTACATTACTAGTTAGCACATAATAAGGGGCGTGGCACAGGTGGGGTGAGAAACGACGGTATGTAGAGAGTGAGATGAAATTCTCTAAAACCTTCGTCACAGCAAAAGATTTACTAATTTATCAGTTTTCAATGCCGGCCACCCCTTAGATGTTATAATTAAAAACTAGGTTTAATTATATTTAGTTAGGTAAAGAATCGTTATTGCATTGAAGTAATTGTAAGGTTAAAATCGTAACTGTAAAATTGACAATTGAAGAGACCTAAATCGGCCACCAATTTAACCGAAGTGTTTATATAAAATCAAGATTTATTTCACAGAGGCTTACCAATTCAGTGCATAATAAAAGTGTTTAAATTAAAGGCTATGAAATTAGATATTACTACATACGATAAAACAAAGTCGCTTTTTCTGTACCCTTAGTACGCTTAAATATTTAAAACTACGCAGTGGATTTTGATGTTTTTTTTACTAAGCAGTTTTTTTCATAGACAGAGTAATTCGAGAGAAAGGTTTTTATTTACAATGTTTATAGAGTCTCTTTAGTGTATCTAAATACATACTAATTGCTCGCATACCTCTAGCTCTACTAACACCAGCATTGCACCCGAGCGAAGCCGGAGCGGGTTGCTAGTAAAATATATAAACGAAAACAGAACGAACAGAACGTAATCGTAAACGGAGACCAACATGTTTCAGAGAAATTATAAATTTATTAGAAACATGGACCCAGTGGGAATCGAGCTTATAACCATCCATTAGATTAGACCAACCAGCCCGTCAAAACTTACATATCTCGCTGTCGAATCGTACTAGCATCGTATAGTGTCGCACTCTATGAGTTCATACCTAAAACCGAGTGGGAGGAACGCTTCCCTCTCGCTCGGTCCGGGATGCTGGTCGGAGCTGAGTTGCCTGGGAGACGTCTTGCGGCATGGAGGTGCGTTACCGCGCTTACTACCCCTGTGAGTACATACCGTTGTCAAGGACACAGTTCCGTGTTACCGGACGCCTTTTAACTGTTGCTCGTTGAACTTGAACTACGCCTTTTATTCATTTGACTCAGAAGCTTTAACTGGCTTCTGTCACGTTTTAATGGCTATATTGGAGGAACGAAAGATATGTAATTATTTTCTTGTGTAAAATCCATACAGAAATACTTTTTGTAAATTAAAGTATGACTAAATAGGATTAACCGGTGCTTAACATTTAATTCTTCACCGTTATTTGTGTTGTAAGTGCCGAATGCTTCTATTCAATACATTCTTCTTTTGTGTTTAAATTTTTTGGTATTACATAGTTGTTTTTTATTACGCTATGTATCATTTAACTTTGTTGTGCCGATTTGAAGTATTTAAAGATGAAATTCAGTTTTCGCCCCTCAGTTTTGCCAAAGCCGTTGTTTTGACTTTGGTGATAGGGAATACTTAATCCATATAACATCCAAGTAAAATTATTTTTTTACAAATTTTTTGATTTCCTCATTTCTTTCAGTCGCTGTCTAATTTCATCTTCCTCTAATATTCAGGTATCTTTTAAGTGAATTTTTTATTGGCGGCTCGCGGAAGACAATGCCTGATCGAAAGTTAGTAAAATGGAGGCATAGTAGACAATATAAATCGTCATATTTGTGCAGTATAGTACTTTGTTACTGATAGTTATAGCAATTGCCATAATAATCTCTCAATCATCTCAAAATATCAAAAATGTGAACGTTAATATTTAGGATTCTACTGTTGCCGTACCGGAGCGTATACCGTTACATACCGCAATTCTGACTTATCTAATAATGCCGGTTAACAAAATAATTCTACATGTACATTTCATCATACATTTAGCATTTTTTTTCTGTTTTAATATGTACTACTGCTAGCTTTTATCATCAGCATGAAAAACACTAATCCACATTTTGTTAACAAAATTATGCAACTATGATGTTATATAATACTGTTATTAATGCCTAAAATTATATGTTGGGCGTATATAGCGTTTCTTTGCCATCTATAAAACCAAATATATTTAGCTCAAACGCGCGCCATATTTGCTCGTATTTTTTAATGGTTTTTATATAAATGACGGCGTGGGTGACTAACGATCTTCACATAAGGTGAAAAAAGGTGACTCGCTTTTCCTTCACGATGAGAGTAGTATAAGTAATTTTAGTAGGCATGTCTGTTGCAGGCGATGGTGGGAACGGAGTCAACTACCATGTTCAGTACGTGGAACCTCAGGAGATTTACACTCAAGGACCGCAGTCTCATATGTAAATATAGAATCTTAGTTAAAGCTTATAGGGACTTGTGCTTTTTATTTTATCTAAACATTGTTTACTGTAGAATAAAAGAATGCCAAAAATTGATAAACACAAAAATTCCGTAATTGATGCCTAAGTGAATTAAGTAAGAAAAATACTGACCATTTAGAAAGTAACATAAAATATTACTGTATAAATTTACTCATATTTATAATTAAAAACCCAAATAAAATAAAAGTATGAACCTTAACTCCAGCTGCGAAAATTTCGCAAATATAATTTTAACTTTTAATGCTTCTATAGGGAAACGTTGCGCGCATACCCAGTATTTGGAGTCGCTAATGTGGAAACGGTCGCCGACACATCGGCAAATGATGGCGATGGTTGGAGTGCGGAGTTTTCCTTCGCGACTGCCGGGACGGACAGTGCGGGTACTTCGGGCGCGGGCAGCTCGAGCAATGAGCAGCCAACTTCACCAGCACCGGCAGCACGCATGCCGCCGGCCACAGTTCAATGGCTGCTTGACCACTATGAGACTGCCGAGGGTGAGTTAAACGAATTTCACTAATAGTTATAAAACGAACGTTTGTAAACTAATGTATATTTTGGTCCTTCGAGCCGGATTTGTGATAAAAAAGAAAAATAAGTAATTGTGATAACAAGGCATATATAAAAGCAAAAATGTGTTTGAACATCGAAAATCACTAGGCCAGTACATAGAATCTAACGCAAAAAGGTTTTTTATCTGTGTAAGGCATTTTTTATGCTCAAACAGTTAAATACTTCTTATACTTAGCGCTACGCGGTTATACCTTGTTTCTTTTTTTAGATATTATCTAATTATATAACTCTAAAACAAATGAAATATAGCTTACTATTATGAATTATTTTTTATTCCTAGGTGTGTCCTTACCACGTTCAACGCTTTACGCCCACTACATGCGCCACTGCAGCACTCATCGTCTCGAACCAGTGAACGCGGCCTCGTTTGGCAAACTCATTCGCTCAGTGTTTGTTGGGCTGCGCACGCGCCGGCTGGGCACAAGAGGCAATTCCAAATATCACTACTACGGGATACGGGCTAAACCTACCGCCCCACGGGACTCGCCTACATTCCAGAATAAATTGGATTTGGATGAACAACAGGTAAAATCTTCTTCTATTAACTTCCAAAAAATCAATCTTGATATGTCATTTTAGTATTTTTGAAACCCAGTAGAACAGTCAAGCATGTGGTCCACTCGATGGTAGGTGAAATGCCTGAGCCATAAAACATTTAGGATGTGTTGTCGACCTATTTCGGCTTTGGACCATTTCAATATGAATTAAACGATAATACGTACTTGGAGGTATAATGTGTTGTTACAATATGTTACAATTGTGTATATACTGGAAGAGATCGCTGCTTAGGCCAATTAGGGCGCCTTGTTTATTTATAAGTTAGTACGTAAGATTTTATGTCCTGTAGTTTTTGTTTTGTGGCATGTATTATCAGTAATAAATAATGAATAAATATAAATACTAATAATGATAACCAAATTATTAATTATGAATTTTAAAAATTCTTCCAATACCAGCAGGAGGTACGCGGTCGCGACCACGAGCCGGCTGTTGTCGGTCTCAGTGGTTCCGCACACCGGCACTACCTGGGCACGGTGTCACCACCCGACCCACCTGACCTCTTCTTGGACGACCTGTCGGAAGACGTTCCACTCAATGCAGCACAACTCCTCCAGATGCATCATCAGTAAGTTTAATTATATGCTCAGAACTTCCTTCAGTAAAAGTTTGTATTCTGCATATTTTTTTCAAAATTCTTCAAAAGAAGGGCCGACATATTTGCAGTTTATGATAATCCATCATAGTTAATTGTTATAAGTACTAGTTTAATTAATATATTTTATAAGATTGTATATTTCTATATTTGTTTTTAGGTTTAGTGTTTAATTGGGTTCATGCCTGTTATGACATTTATATGAAACTAGTAGTGTTGATTGCACTGCTCCTGTCAATTGTTTTAATCCGGACCTAAGGGCTAAACACAATAAATCTTTGCGTTATTTAAAATGTTGCTATTAAACTTAACAATGCTATGCTGTAGGGAACACGGCGTAGAATTCCTAGAAGCTGTGGCAGCGTTAGACACGTCTGCAGTTGAGCGGGCTCGGCGCAACTTCTGGAAGCGTCCGCCGGGTGACCTATGTCGTCGTGTGCTGTACAAGCTGACCGCACGCAGAGACGTCGCCATCTGGCTGCGGAAAGCTGAAATGCAGCTGTATCAGCGCGCTGTGGAATTGCTGTTACCGGACGTTCTCAGACCCATACCTTCTCAGTTAACGCAGGTACAACTAGTGGTGTTGCTCACATTTGTTAGCTACAAACAACGCTATACATTATTAAGACTCGCATGGGGTTTATTTGATGGTGGAAGGTGATGGTGGAACAAGATGGGCTGTGCTGCCCTATTTTGGCTTTGGACATTTGGAAATCCACAGACTAGCCCGGATCCTGTGCTTGGTGGTTCGTCCCTGGTGGGATTTACATATATCTCGCATTCCTTTTATAAATTCATAGATCTTTCAAGAAAAATATTATTTATTTTTGGAAACTTTCAGTGGTAATCCAACCGACGACACGTTAATTGTTTACTATAAATTTCTACCGAAAACAATGTACCCGTCAAAAATAATACTATGAAATAATAAACATTGTTGAACGTTTCGCTTTTTAAAACCATAGATGTAAATAAACAATCGACTATGCATTGAAACAATTTACGACACGGGCAGGACTTGAAGCGGCATCCACAGCGTTCCGTCCTCATGCTCTAACCAAACGAGCTACCGTGTCAGATGGTCAAAGTTTAATTTATATAGTGCCATCATGTGCAAAAACATGCGAAAAAAAGATCCAAACACATATATGTAATTATGTTTGATTTTATTTTATTAATTTTGTTTGTGAACCATGTTTCTATAATCTATGCTTCGCCAGGCTATCCGTAACTTTGCCAAGACACTGGAGTCGGCCCTCGCGGCTGGTTCTGGGGGTGCGCCAACGCTGGCTGCACGCGCCCAGAGTTCAGCCGCCGCCGCCCTGGCCGGGGCACTGCGCAGGTACACCTCGCTCAACCACCTGGCGCAGGCTGCTCGGGCAGTTCTGACCAATCATCATCAGATACAGCAGGTGAAGCTTTTTATAATATTGGAGATTTATTTTTATTTTCATTGGCTCGTGAACACGATATAAATTTGATAGTCAAATGTTATAAAAATACTTAAATACTGTCTATGGCTTACGCGAGTAGTACTATCGGTTTAAAAGAGTCCCCCGTGACCACGGCTACGGCTTAAAATAGTTAAAATAGTCGGGCCGTAGTTAAAATAATTCGTAAATAAGTTTAAGTAGTTAATTTCGTGATTTACTATTTTTTTAGTTTCTATTTAAAAATATTTAATGAAGTAACACTATACTTTTAGATGGTGTCAGATCTGAGTCGCGTAGATTTCCGCGTCGTGCGCGAACAAGCTGGATGGGCTTGCGCATGCGGTTCAACGCCAGCAGCGCACAAACTGGAGGCCGATTTTAAGGTACGACTTTTAATGATGTTTGCATTTACTGAGTTTTAAACACATACATTGAAACAATTAAATGTTTACTTTGATTTTCCTCGTCTTGTTAATTGTCTGTTCTTAGTAAATTCATAATTTCTATGAAATGAGCTTTTACGTCATGTAGTTGGTTGCATGTGCTCCTAAGTTTCATAAGAAGTATACACTGTGCTCTTGTGTTGGAAAATAATACATATATCTAAAGGTATATAAGTGGGAACGTTTTGATAACATTTTAAAGTTAGAAGTTAGGACTTGGCAAAAGCCTTCAAGGAGAATTCGTATAGAGGTAGATTGTTTCCAGGCGACTCTCGGGCGTGGCGCGTCTCTGGAGCAGTGGGCCGGGTGGCTGGAAGCCTGCGTGCGCGACGCCCTAGCGCCTCACACCGGTCGCGCGGATTACACTGCGCGTGCGCGGCGTTTGCTTCTCGATTGGTCTTTCTACTCTTCGCTAGTGATTCGAGAACTCACTTTACGGTCGGTCTCTGTCGAAATTTCACTTAAATGTTGACTAAAAACCATTCTTTCCTTTTTAAGCTTTTTCAGAGGAGCACACTATTACGTTGCTATATATAACATTTTTTATGTTACATTTCATTTTAAAGAACAACAAAATTCCGGAAAGACCATTGTTCAATATTCTACGATTAACACATACTATTCATTATGATTTTTGAGACCTCACCTCAGTAGCAGTTAAATATTTTGTATAACTCATTTATTAATTACGTATCAATGTAGCATTTTTTACGAATAACTTTTTCACAATAATAAAGTTAACTTAGGTCATTTAAATTTACCTATGCCGCCATCTTAATGAATTTGAACTGGGAAACTATGATCGGTGTGTTCTTAATTATATTTCAATTAATTCAATTGAAATTGAACTCTATTACCTTAATTTAAAATATGTCTGGACAGCAAGGTCTTCTTCTTTTCTTGAAACGAAAAAAATGTTATACAACTTTCAAATGGGTGGTAGCAATAACGAACAACCGTCTACAGATGATAGAGACGTGAAGTGTGAATCTGCTTCTGGTTTTCAGTCTGTGTGTACAAAATTGTGTTATATTTTTATTCTCTAATGTCGCCTACACACCTATACAAGTGCGAGTATCACGAGGCAGAGATCGCACTCGTTGTGTAGATTCAGTGAGGATGGTGTGGTCCGCAGGTCTGCCGCGTCGTTCGGCTCCTTCCACCTCATCCGGTTGCTGTATGACGAGTACGTGGCCTTCTTGATCGAGAGGCGCGTGGCCGCCCATCGCCAGGAGCCGCCCATAGCCGTCATGCAGCGCGCCCTCGTAAGCCACACTTTTTACATAGAAATTTGTAAAATAACTCTGTAAGCCATATTTGCCAAAATCAGGTGTGAGATAAATGTTACCATTTAAAGCAAGCAGAGAGAGTTATATTAAGGTTAGATTTGATAGTTCGATGTCGAGACACGTGTTGAATCTGACTTGAAGGACCAAATGAAAATGCTGTCCATTACATTCTTTGCCGTTGATATTTTTGCCAGCATTGAAACGAAAAAATGTATCATTGTTTACGAAGGTAAAATACATGAATGTCAAGCCTTAGTTATTAATCTACTGTACTGTGTTGTTGGCTCACTGAATGATACTCTTTTTTATTAAGAGGTGCGTGAAGTGTCGATGCGTATTGATTATCTTTGAAAATGCAGGACGACGACGACGAGTTGCCAGAGGAGGTTGCGCGCGAGGAGGAGGAAGGTGATGGGGACGGGGAGTGGGAGTGGGGGGAGGAGGAGGACGATGACGAAGATGACGTCGATTGCAAAAAGGCTCGTCTCTCGGATTAGCCACGGTAATTACTTATTAGCCAAATCTGCTTTTGTGGTCTAATTTCTGACACTATGTTTTTGACGTATATTTGCTATTGGAACCGGTTCGACCTCGATTTAATGAAATAGTTGTTTTAAAATGTATGAATTTAGGTTTTATTTTCGTTTTCAGATTTCCCGATTGGGATATTCTATATTTGCCCATTTAGTTCGCGTTGCCAGCTTCAACGGAGGCAGAGTACAGCTCAATTGGTGTTATGTATTTGTGCAATGTATTACCTTGTATAGGTCTAACGTTTCAATTTCAAGGCGAAGAATTACGTTATGCTTTCGTATTAAATTTCGTGTAAGTTGTTTTCCAGGAGCCCCGTGTAGGATACCAATTATAACTTTTTTGATTATAGTTTGATAATAATTGTTGAACGAAATTTCTATGTTCATTCTTGCCTCGTCGCGTTTGAAAGCGTATTATAATATTATATTAACTTCATGTAGTAATAATACGAAAAATTACAATTTCACATTTCATGTACCTCCATATACATAAGCACTTATGCGTCATCATTGTATATGTTTGTACAGTTTAAAATGTGTACTTACTGACATATACAATTATTAAACTTATCTACTCATTTGATTGTCTAAAGTGTACATATTCATATAAACTATGATTGCGAATGTGGGTAGTTCCAAACATTACAAAGAGTTCTAGTCATGTACGTAAGTTTCATTAATAATTATACGTGAAGATATAATAGATGTATGTATTAAAATTGGATATTTAATTATATCGTAACTTATGTGAGTTATATACTACAGGTGTAAATAAGGATTATTTAAAAACTGTTAACAATTTTAAACCGCAATGTAATTCTACAACACTTAATATTCAAGGCCAATGACCTACAATACATAAACAGTTATTATTTTTATTACGTTACATTGCGCGCTGTAATTTTCTTTACACCTGTGTACGTCTATTGTATATGAAATATAAGATCCTTAAGTGGAGTTAAATATATATCATTAATTATAATATTATTAAACTACTTAGTTATAAGGTATCGTTAACTTAATCCTATATGCTTTGAAGATGTAGTTGCAAAAATATTTTTGGAAGCACCATTTATTTTCTAACCAAAGATTTGGAAATTGCACGTTTGCACAAATTAGTAATAATTACTTAATAGTATCGTAACATAACATAAATACAATCCTTAGGTGTGCAAAATGTTTTAATGTTTCACTACATTTCATATAGATATAATGGCATTAAACATTTCGAAAAACTAATTGTCCTGATATATTCATATAATTTAAACTTGCTTACAACTAAATATAATCGAGTCAATGTTTAGAAATAAGAAAATCGCACTGTACAAAGTTTCGCACTTTAAATGTTTAACTACCGTCTTTACGTTACCTGAAGGTACTTAGTGATCCTAAGAAAATCTAAGTTATAATTGTAATACATATATATTGTCTTAGAGCACAAATTCGACGCATTACTATAAGCGCTTTTTTGTATGTCAAGGATGTCGCGTTGAGGCGAAAACTGACCAAATGTTTGCTATGTAATCGAGCATTTGCATCAAGCATGCTCGTAATGTGTTTACACGCGTGTTCACATTCAAGAAGTACGACAGCTAGGTTTTGTTAGACAACATACTAGTTCACATTACTAGATTACTAGGTTACATAAAAGTTCGTCGCGTAACACTCAAAAGATGCAGGAGAAGAGCCGGGTCGAACGCTTAACTAGCAACGAGCTGCTCGTCGAGCATTCGATTTGAGTTCGCCGTCACAAGTATGTGACTGCAAGAATCGGTTACATTTCAGTTTCAGGAGTTTTTGGTCAGTATCCAGCTGTATCAAAAAAACATTCGTCGTTCGTAGAAAAACTATTCGTTGGTTTGAGTCTATAAACGTATAATTTGGTTCTTATATTGTTATAACATCGACCATGTTTCGATTGAAAACTGAAGACAATGTAGGTACTCTATATCCATAAAATATTTTTCTACACAATAATGCCTTAGTTGTTGCCTTAAAATTCGGGGTTGCCAACTTTCTGTCAAGAAAATATAATGGTACAAACTGTTAAAATATATTACAATCTATGATTATCGAGTTCGCTATTCCGTTCCGTACCTTTTCGATGTAGCTATTAATAAGACATATGAACATCGATTATTGATTTTCGATAAACCGGTTATATACTTCAACCCTGTCTTTCCACAGATAATATACATGGAAGTATGTAAATGACAATTTTTGAGAGATTATTTTAGATTTCGAAATCCTTCTCAAACTCTTAAACAACTGTAAAATTGTGATTTTTTAAAGTAATGTGTAGTTGATCAATGGAAGTGAATAATATATATTGGGACGACGATCGTGCGTTTTTTTGATGGTAATTTCGATGGATTTTATAAATTCAATTGGAACGGAGTATCGCTTATTATATTATCGGTCGAAACACCTGAATTGTTATGTTGTATTTTTCTCATTTTATGCAGTTTATAGTGTTTAATTTACTGTGTAATACTCGTGTAAACTTAACTCCATAACATTTGATATTCTGCATTCGGCTTTTAACATTTTGTGTCTAATAAAAGCTTGCTTCTTTCAAAACTGCAGAGCTTTAAGTTGAGAGTTGGCAACTCTTCACACACTGTACCTCGAACCAAGTGCGTTGGACTTTTGACGGTTGTGTTTCAAACTAATACGAAAGTTGTGAACAATTTGCGTCTTAAATTAAAGAAACAGTATACGTAGTACGTTAGTGTATGTCTGTCCATGTAGTTGTTTGCTAAGATGAGCCCGTTTGTCCACTGTCGCCGTTACGGGAATTTCGATGACGTTTGTGAATATAGAGGAAGTGGATGCTAAATTTGATAAATGGATCGAAGAAGGTGGAAATATCAACAGCATTGTCGCTAAAATGTGATTTATTTATTATCGCACTGTGAATGTACTTATATTCTTCATTTGACTATATTTTTAATTAAGAACTCTTTCAGACTTACTATGTCTATATCAAGATTTTTTTCAGTGTATTATTTTCCTGAAACATGTTGGTCTTTGTCTGGAAATGTGAATATTAAATGGGTGGTAGGAATATCGAAATTGTATCCTGGTCTCGAACTGCCGCCCCCAGGTGCAAAAGGCTAAGTGTTATCGCGTTTCGGTGTCAGTCTGTGGATTTCCGAATATGCAAAGCTAAAATAGGTCGACGGCGTATCTTGTATACATGTTATATGGACCCCAAGATTGTCCTCATCTATCCTGTCTAAGAAAAATGCAATATTTTGTATCATAAGATAATTTACTTCGTAGATATCGTGTTCTCGTAAGAGGCGACAATGGACAAACGCCGTAAGCCTTATTTCTCGTGCATTTAAGTCTACTATACGATGACAATATATTTAGCAGGACAGTAGGGACCGGCACCGATGCACACGAACACACAAAATGGTGGAATTGCCTTACGTGTCGGTGTTATCATTGATTTACTCTTATCGATGTTCATATTTTTGCATTCATTAATTGCACTAGGATTAGATAGATGTCGTGCTTGTGAACTTCACTGATGACTGAACTTGACGTTTTCTTACTCCAGTTTTATTCAGGCAAAGGTATCGGCGTAGAACAGGTTACATTGTAGAAAAAGTGTTGTATTATTTATTGTTTTCCTCCAACCAATGGCCAACAGTGCATTGCATTAAACACGACAGGTTTGCATCCCGGGGAAATAAATATTGTTTAAGTCGGGCAGAGCACAGAAGTCGGCTTCTGACTTGTAAATTCGTTGAGTAAAACAGACAGATATATCTAATAATAATATATAAAATAGATATATAAAAATGCTTCACAAGCGAAAAACGGAGTTTTGCTATTGCTGTTTCAAACGTCTGTATGTTTATATGCTTTACTAAAAACTGTTTAATAAGAAAAATAAACACACCACAGTTAACGTTGAAATTTTCAAATTATATAATTTTGTCATTATTTGACTGGAATGAATTTATTTTTAATACAAAGTTAAATAAAAGTAAAGTCGAGTGGAGTTCACACAAACTTGTCACGTATATACTTCAGTGTTGAAAGTGTGTTCTTTCGTCTTTAATTAAAGGCCCTAGAACACACTTGAACCTTTAGTTATCGGTGTTAGGATGTAATATGTGTAGTGAATGCAGCTTGGACTTTTGGTGGGTAGGATTTTATAACTTTCTTTTTCGGTTGTACTGTGCACACTCAACAAAACCGTTATAAAAATCACCTCAAACTCTTGTGCAATTCATTTTCTTTATTTTTAGTAATAAAACGACCAGAAAAGCTACGAGTTCCAATAGATAACCTCTTGTGGGTGTTACCTGGTAAGCCACGCCTATATTATTTTTGGTTATAAGAAATATAATTAATTATTATAGTGCAAATTTCTCACTAATATAGAGTTATTGAATTCTTTAATATGCTGTTGAACTAGAATGACCTGACTAATTACAAGCTGCATGCACAAGACATTCAGAGCTTAAATTTTGTATCGGGAGAGAATTGTTAGGAATATGCAACGAATTGTATGAAACTCATTCCTTTGTTACTGTCGCAATATCCATGAGGAGTAGACATTTAAACATTTTAACAGCCAAATGAAAGTATGTCTTTTAAAGAAAGTTACATAGCAAACAACAAAGGGCAGTAGCAATTATTTTGAATATAGTGCATTAACTAAGGAATGCAGTTTGAGTTTGACAAGATATTGTGTAGATTGGATTGCTTAGAATAAATCGATGTTTGTCTACAGACAGTATGTATTGTCGGAAATAAAGCTAGTCATGTGTTTATTGGGTTTGTTTATAAAGCTTTAGCTGGTTTAAATCTATAGCTTTCATAACATCTAAATGACTTAATTATGAAAGGAATGAGATGAGTCAAAACAAATTAATAACAATAAGGGGATTAAAATTAAAAATCAACCTCATAAATATTATTTTAATATGCTAGAGCCATTCAAACAATAAAAATAATATTTACAGAAAATTTTGTCTAATAGATATTGCACTGAACTAGCATTTATAAGTACAGCACGAACAAACACATTTGTGTAAATTTATAAAATAGAACCAACGCACCTAGCGATTCTATATTTTTTTTTATTCATTTCACATTTTTATATGAATAACATAACAGTGAATTTATTATAGTAACACAACGCCAGTTACGTTACAGACAGTGCAATGAAATATGACGTCATAATATTGAAATCAAATGGGCCTATAAATACTTAAAGAATTAACAATTTAGTCATCCTAAAAAAAAGCACATGTTAGAGCCATTTCGATTATAACTAAACTTATCTATCAAATGAATGCAATGTTTGACCCCATTGTTTATAATTTGTGATAAAAACAATCAGAAAATCTTGGAGCAACTAAACGCTCCATTTTTGACGTCCTCACTTAAGAAACTTAGTGATTTGATACAATCTTTATGATCCAGGCCACTGTTTTCCGTAGACTCACAAATTTAATACATTTTAAACTGCAATGTAAAGATGTATTATACGTTATTTGACTTTACTTGAAAATCAAAAAAGACGAACCAATTAACACCAAACGGTTTGACATATGCACCGATAGAGGTCGCTGTACATAATTAGTGACAAGATATGTTGTGAAAGGCGATCTAAGCAAAAATATTTATTTCTTTGGTAACTACCGTCACTAGATAACTACGTGACTAATACCAAAGGAAATTTTGCTAAAACCAACTATTTACAGCCAATTCCTAATAAACTACATCTAAATTATAATTGATTTACACTAAAGGGGAGAGAAAAAAAGGAAAATGGATAAAGCATTCGTTCCCAATAGATAATTCAAGTGTAATATAATAGCTTAATAATGATAATTAAATAACAGACGTTTTTTTATATAACCATGCCTTATTGACCAATTTTTAAACATTTGATATTTTTTTTGATGCTATTACAATTATTATGACGAGAAGAAATATAACAAACGCAAAATTAAGTTAGGTGTTAAACATAATAAGTAAAATATCGGAGAGTATTAAATGATTAATATTGTTTGTTTTATCTGTTCAAAATTACGCAGAGATTAAAGAATATAAGACAAATGCCAATTTTTTGCGTAAAATATTAAAATTAATATTATTTGAATTTACTGCCATACAACCTATTATTACCATTGAAAAGAAGTCTCAAATAGCGAGCGCAGCAGATCGTTTGTCTCTGTTCTTGTTCCGGGCAACAGTTCGGGCCTTACAAGCAGCTGTGTTTTGTAGATGCTGAAAATTTTACCAAAATAAAAATTATACCATACTACTTTCATATCACAAGTAATTTTATGGGATCTAGTACCCGTGACATTCTAGGTTTGATGAGGGTAGTTGTTTTTTATATCTACCGAAATTATCTATTCTTCATTTGGTATAAGCCAATCTACATACCATTAAACAATCAAAATTTAAAAACTCACTCGCTGTAGCTTTGTACGTTTATCAGCACCAGGTCGCTGCGGGATCTCTAGCGGTACATCGGCTGATAGTTGCAAAGCGGCTCTTAGTCTGCTGCTATGAAGCGCAAGCGACTGCAACCCAGCGCCGAGAGATGCAGCAAGTGCCGTGTATGTGGCGCGGGTCGACCAGGTATCGCACGAGACGCATTCAGTGCCGATACGAACGCGCAGCTCGGGTACGTCACCCTCCTACAAGTGATAAAAAATCGATTCAATTAAAAACTATAAAAGATTCGTGGAAATCATTTAAGAATCAGGTCTTTATATCCGAAAATAAGGAAAAATAAGCGAGAACTGCAGGTCCTTCGAGCCGGACCAGTAAAAAAGCCGTACCTCAAAGTACTTCAGTATATCCCTGAATGTAGCCCTCTGCACTTTCCTATCCCGTTTCGCGCGATACTTGTGCGAGTCTCGGGCTAGTTCGTCTAAACGGGGCAGAACTAGCTCTTCCCCGGCACGGTCCCAACCGCTGTATTCCTCTTCTTCGTCCTCTGTTACCCGCTCGTGGGCAATTGCGAGCGCACCGCCAGCCGCCATACGCACCTGAATTAATCAAATTTATTAGAAAGAGAAATCTAAACGATATAAATAATAAGACCAACTAAAGGGTCTATACTACTTGAACAAATTCAAATTTACTTACTTCGAGACTACACGCTTCCAGTAGATCAGCAAGCCTGGCGAAGGATGGTGGGTGTTCCTTAAGCAAGGAGCGGGCGTGGTCAGGCTCGGTGAGGGCCAAGAGCAACGCCCACCCGTCTATGGCTGCCGCGTGCCAACCGCCTTCCTCTACCACAGCCCCTGAGACCTTAACGGTGCCGTCACCCTGGAAAGAAATATTGGACTTATTGTAGCAAAGCAACAAATAATCAATATTTAAAAACCTAAAAATTCTTACGCCTTTGTTATTCTATTGATATATGCATCGAGCAGACACATTTATATGTCAGTTTTATTGATCAATTTAAAAACCCCCAAATAATAGATCAGGATGAATATATGACAAATAAATCTCAGATGGATGTCTTGGAAAAAGGTCATCTAACGTCGTAAGTGAATCTTAAATTTATTTACAGCAACATCTTGTTACATGGCTGGAGTATTTCAACTTCCATCCAGTGAACGAGTTTGACCTTATCTATCATAACATAAAACAAAGTCAACTAAACAGTAAGACGTCAGTTTTAAAATATTCGTTTGTTTATCTTGGATATAATAGCTCATCTCGAGACAACAATTAGAATACGTAATAGATAAGGATGAACGTCAAGCGAATATTGTTATCAAATCCTATTTTTCGTAATTGTGTATGCGCATACGTCACCGCGTTACCGAACTTATGACCTTGAGACGTGCTAACTACACGGAAATGTAGTTAAGGAAAAACCCGAAACAAATGTATGTAAGCTTTTATTTGGTGCAGTTTTTAGATATACTTAGAGGAGAAATCAGATTGAACAATAATGAATGAATTGAACTTTTAAAAAACAACAACATACATACGTAGAAAACTAACATCACCAAGAACTACATAATAAACTATAAAAAATCTGCTACAGGCAGTAATCAAACCTACAACTCAGTGGAGTTTTTGCTAGCTATCTCTGTTTTATTGCTGTCAAGTTAAAAAAAGATACTTCATGTGGTATATTCACTTTTATTACTAAAGTACAAACTGTGTTAAAAAAAATAATACCTTAAGGTAGCTTCCGCTAAAGATAGTTTCAAATAGTCTCATGACCTCCAACACTTCGGCGAGATCGTCTTCCATCAGGTAACAGAGGATGGCGAGCGCTGAACAGCACTGGAATAAAGAATTTTGTTAGCTTCATTTGCTTTTAATTATTATTATAATTAGTTTCTATCGGGGACACCTGTGGTAGGCCGGGTGATTAGTGCACGTTATCAGCCGACAATTTCCTCCTTGGTTTTGGTTCATCCAACTCTCCCTGTCAAACCTTCCGGTTTGCTTGCAGAATCTTATAATTTTATTATTATTTGCTTTTAATACTTCTTTTGTTAATTATAATACATGTAGTAGACATAGCGGATTGCTAGTACAAAACACTTGAGGCAAACAGCCATACCCTTAGTTTACCAATATTAGAACATATTAGATCACCAATATTACCACCAATATTAGAACATTCACACTAATGTTTACTAAAGTGTCATAATGCTTTTGACTACAATATGACGGCAAATACCTCAGTGCGTGTTTCGAGTGACGCGGTCTTATCAGCCGCAGCTGCAGCCAACGCTGGTCTGACCTCCTGCATAAACTCCTCCACACCATCTTCGCCGATCTGGAATAAGTTTCTTAATTATTTTATTATTATTACATATACATTAGTACTAAAAAACCTATTGTTTAATAAGACAATCTGATACACATGTATTTTATCTAACACCTATATTCATTAAATCGTTATGTTATCAAACTATTGAGCTACGGAGGAGCTCAATAGTTTGATAGTTTGAAAATATTACAGTGTGACCTCCTCCGTAGCTTAATGGTCAAATGTGTTTTCTAGCATTGCAAGAGATGAAAGTGAAGCCTTGGGTTAAAATTCTGTGGAATCAATAAATTGATTTGGTCAGGCAGGTGTCAAAACTCTGATTATTGATTAATACTGGGAAAAATATATTTCACTGTCCAATTTGGACAGGTTACTTGATCTTCTTAATCTCAGACCTGCAAAGCCAATATGGGTGCTACAGCAGCCGCCGCTTTCTTCTCCCCGTCTTTTCCTCGTCGCAGGGCTTTAGTGACATGGTCAGCTAATGTCGCCCGCTGCCCGCTCAGCAGAACCGCCAGATATCGCCGCTGCAAGGCGCTACGCAGTGCTACGAGGGCCGCCGCACGCGCAGCGTTAGACCTCGCGCTGAGTGCATCGATTATTTCCATCACCTTCTCCTCAAATTTCTCTTGCGCTTCGTTTTCTAAGAGTAATTATTGATACAATGTAATACAGGTCACTTAGCATTGCAACCACAATGACAAAAATATTATTTTAATTGAAATAAAGCATAACATTTTTCTTCTTATGCAATTAAGATTCTATACATTCTCCATTTAAGAATAAAACAGACTTAAAAATTTTAAACCATTATATATTAGTTTTTAGAGAAAAGATGTAACTTGTTTAAAAATTTGATTTATAAATTATGTACCAAAAGCATTAATTTATTGTTCTATATAATTCTGTTTATTGAAGCAAACCAACCATTAACTTTTTAGATAAGGTAGAAGATAAACTAATGTAAGGCAGATTAAAGCAAGTTAGGTAATAGCATTAATATGCTCCGCTAATAAAATATCTAAGTAAAATCCTGGTATAAGTATAAGGTATTTATGTCCATTTAAAATTTTAGGTTTGTAACAATTGTAAAATCTTTGTTAATATTGCACTTCAATCTAATACATAAATACAGTAATATCAGAATATAATAATGCAAGTGACAGCTTGAAACTTGGTTTCCAATTTCAACATATAAAACAAACACATTGTTAAATGGTGGGACCTAGATTTAAGGAATATTTTTTATACCTGCTTCATCATGATTGCTTCTAAGATCGGATTGGCCTGAGGTCTCTGAACAGTTGTCATTTGTCATGTCAATCCCTGCATCTTCATCAGATGAATATGGGAGTTCTGTTCTTCTATGCTCTGTGGAATATCAAAAGATTATTAAAAAATGACATTGGAATGTTGATAAATCTATGACGCAGGCAGGTCTCAAACCCTTTGTATACATCTTTCTTAAAATACAAAAAAGGAAAACTTAGTAGATTTAAATTTAACCAATAATGTCAACAATTTTACCACTAGCAATTAATAAAATACATATACATATATATACCTTCAAGTACTTCTACATTTTTGCATATAAACAATATTAATCATTATTCTATGCAACCAAAAGATAACTTTTGTTAAGTTTTCCTCATAGTAAGTTCATCTTTTTTGCAATATGGTGCAATTAAATGTGATGACTCACCATTGTAGACAAAAAATAAAAAAGTTCTATAAACATATAATCATTCATGTCACCGTTATTTGAATAATAATTATATTTCTACAGGGTCCAGCTTGAATAATTTTATTGTTTAAATTTTGATTTGTTTGTTCCTTTCATTTTATTTATTGTATACTATGTATATAAAAGCTTCTAAAATTTATAAATGCATTCGTTTTAAAACTGTGGTATTTTTTAAAATATGCACAATATTATTCTTATCTGGGATTATTTAATCTGTAGAATATTATCAAACTGGCAACAAGGTCATGGTTGTGAAAAACCAAACGATTAAAAATAGCTGCAATATGTCACTACACCTAAGCAAAGAGGTTACATATACAATGACACATGTTACGAAATAGAGATTGTGGTGTTACAAGGACTTGTGAAATGCGGAAACACAAAGATTTGTGCTTTTCTGTGCTATTTTAAGCTAAACATATGCTTTCTATCGCTGTACCTTTGTATTGTACGTGGACTGTCATTAACGCAAAAGAATACAACATGCACAAGGTCGCTGCGTGATTTCATTTTGAGAAAATTCCAGTACACTCCGAAAGCTTAAACGGCTTATAGACAACGACAAACACTTTAAACTTAACGGTAAAATCATTATACTCACCGAATTTTCCCTTTTTCTTTCCTTTAGGCATGGTGATAGTTGTTTCTTGAACTACAACTATAAAAAAAGACTAAAATATTCACTATTTATTTTTCTAGATTCTCACTTAATCAGGATGGAGAAAAGTTTAGTATATCAGTTCTTATAGTACGATCGAAACACTGGATGGAACATAAAACTAAAATTTCAGAAAAACTTTTTAACATGTTTAACCGTGTTACATGCACGCGCGACTCCGCTGATTTGGATAATTTTGCTGTCAGTTTGAAGTTTTGTCAATTTTGCCCGCCGTTTTGCGCATGCGCTTTTGGATGCCTTAATGTTGCTACAAGCAAAATATAACTCATATTGAATCAACGGTTAACTTCATCATACAAACGTGTAAGTTTAAATATTTGTCATTAATAAAATTGTAAAAATCTTTACAATTTAAATATGATGTAAAATATCAAATTACTAATAAGCCGGGCTTAAAAAGAAAGGTGAAAAAATAACCGTTTTTTTTTACCTTCTCTCATAAGTATTTTTTACACTTGCAACACAATGTACAATAAGTTGCGTTTGTGGTGTGTGCACTATGAAGTATGTACATACATACATACGTTACATGCACATTTTACATATCCATTTATATATAATAATAAATTGAAACCAACTAGATTATCGATAGAAAAACAAAATTAAAATTATTTCGCCAACTAAAACTTAAAAGATATTGAGCAATAATTATGGCGAAATTAGGCGAAATTTTGATTCGCCCCTGATTTTCACAATGTTAAGATATATTTAAAATTTCTGTAGAAAAATGATTCACGACGTTGGATTATCTTATCGATATCGTAACAAAATAATTATTGCTGATACAACATTAACGAAACATTAAACATTAAGTTAATTATTGTGGCCTTAATTACCTACATTGTTCGTGTCATTTGTAAAAAAAGCTTTCTTTACCTTAAAACTTACGTTTTAGATTTATAAAAGATTGTTTTCTCGATTCACTTATGAATATTAGAGAAAAATGAATAATTATACCGATGTCTGTTAATTTTTTGGGTATAATAAAAACTAGCAGTTTCAATACCTTTTATATTTTTATAGTTTCTATTATAACAAAATAATAAAATTCGGAAATATTTTATTCGTTTAAATTTACTTAGGCATTTAATAAGAAAGTAGTCTGTACAATAAACTATAAACTGGAATACAGATAGTGGAACTTAGGAACATTTTTACTCCGTTTCTCTGTTCCTCTGGTGTATCCTCATTGTGCATCTCCTTCCACTTCGCTTTCCCTTGATTAGATCCTGTCAATTTTCCGAACCTGTATTCAGCGCACTGAACTGTAACTATTGGTGGAATCCCTTGGAAAATCAGCCGAGAACTTTTTCTGCTGAACGTTGGGGATCCCCTTAGCTCTTCAACCTCCTGGCCGTTGATGTACCATCGGATTTCAGCTCCGGGTGCGCCTCGGCAATAAGCTTGCATCTCGTCATCTTCCCCAAATTCCTCTGCAAGGCCTTCGAGTAGGGGTTTCCTGTGCTTATGTCCGTGGACTTCCATGTACCCAGTCCGTGATTCATACTGATACGGCGGTATCTCTTTTTCTATATCACATTTATATATCCCTGTGGCTTCTTCAGTTAAGGCTCCTAGCTTTAGACGGCACGCAGTCGGCCCGCAGTGGATCAACTCGATCCTACCAACTCCCAAGACAGGAAACGACCTCGTACTCGGTGCAGACCCGGGCTTGTACCTGAAGAATTCCGTGTTTCCCTTAAACCAATTAAGGAGTGTGAAGTTCGCGTCGTATCGGCATTCTATTTCTACTTCGTCCTGGCCCGGGGGGATGATATGGGGTATGATCAGGTCGGTGATGTTGAAAGGCCTGGCTCCACAAGACGCGATAGCTAGCAGAACAAATGCGATAGTGAGCATGGTGTCGCGTTGCGCGCGCGCACGACACTGTTCCCTCTGAGTCCAGCACGATCTTAATTAAGCAGTTTATTAAACTCCGACACTTAACCGTTGAGATCCCTATGGATGCTAGGGTTTTTTTTTGTCCCGCACTAATTGCTAGAGAAATTTATAATTGAGTTTCGCTAAGGGTGGCTAATTTGTTCACCCTCGCTGTAACATAACGGGACTTAACCAAATAGTAGATGAGGGATTAATTAAATTACATTACTTTTTTGGTATTTTAATTATAAAACATGTTATTTGAGGACTGTAATTGTAAATTTTAATTAGTAACCAAGTAATCATTTTAATAATTATTCAAAATCTGAAACTCAACACGTTGAATTTTCATTTAATAATTGTATTTAAAAAATTGTATATAAAAGAAAGGTATCGCCACTTAAGAATTATAGTGGTAATGCGCCGTTTTTCAGCGCCCCCCAGTTAAGAAGAACCTATTAACTAGAAAATATTAAACTACTTGTTGACCATTTAATTCATTTTATCTATGGCTATGAACAAGTTAAACTAATTCACGTATAAAAGACCGCTCAAGACCTACAAATAACTCTACTGACCAATATGTTGTAACTTTTGCAGAGAAAAGCAACAGGCAGCTAAATGGTTGGAGGTAGATCATTGTACGAATCATCTCCGAATTACGAATGTGTCATCCATTACGTTACTCCAGATTAGTAACGAGCATGTTTTGCGAAGATTTCAAATTAATTGGATCCTGCAGTTCGAGAATTATTGGACGAAATTTCATGTCATTATCTGTATGATATTGGAGCTAGAGACGGGTTTCATTCCGTTTAGGATATAGGGTTAAGAATGTTTAATGTGAGTTGGTGGTCTTTCACAATTTTCTCCAAAGAAACAAGTCTACCAAGATTTCTTTCGTCTAGTAGCACAGTTAAGTCTGTCGGATGTATAAATCATGATAAGTACGAAACTGCCGAAACCCCACTCCTGCGCAATTGACTGTTCACTGATATTGTTTAAAGTGACGCACAGTAAGCTTGGATTTAAAATATCATTGAGAAGCGAGTTCGAGTCTTGCCCGTGTCATCGAATTTATGAATACATCAATAGTAATATTATAAAGCTGAAGAGTTCTTTTGTTTGAACGCGATTATCTCAGGAACTTTTTGAATTCAGGTTGGACTTATTGATTTTTTTTCTATTGATTAGACCATTTAACGGTTTAAGCAAAACATATCAGGCTACGACTAATAGGAGCGAAGAAACGGAGGAATATTTGGAAAATATGTGTGTGCGCTCACAGAAAAGTGCTCTTAAAAATATGTTCACAAGAATTATTCTTACACAAATGTTCCAAAAAAAATTGTCCGTGATAGTATATTATCTCTATCTTTCAAGATTAACACACAAAAAACCCTTTTTATGAGAATCGAATTTCGTCGAAATTCGTTTGCTAATGTCAGTTACTTATTTATATATTTCCATGTTAATAGTTTTTCACGCGTTTGCTAATCCGTTTATAATTAAATCTGTGCCATGGTTATTCGTGTCATTTTGGCACATGTAGTCTCTTCAATCCTCGTGCATAGAATCATTGTTTTAGTTCTTCAATTGCGTATTAGAAATTTAGGGGCAAGGGGCATCTCTTGAGCCCACGCGTCGCTCTCGGAAGCAAGGCATTACAATTTTATTAGCGGTAATCTTCTTAAGTGTTATCAGCCTAATTGAATAATGCATCGCTATTGTAATACCTACCGGACTTTGTTTTAATATTCCGATACACGGCTGAGTCACGGATTCGTCTGGATTATTGTGAGGGGAGAGAATACTGATCTTACTCAATTTGATCAGAGAAACTGGGAAGTAAGAGTTCAAGTTAAGTAGAGTCAAATAAGTTTGTATTTTTATTTATTTATTTCATTTATTATTACCTTATTATTTATAAAACACACAACAGAAAATACATATTAATGAGGAAAAACTCTGACGTACTAACTTATAAATAAAAGGCGGCTTCAGCGTTATGTGGCGATCTCTTCCAGGCAACTTGAAGATATCTACAAGAGAAAAGAAATAGAAAATAACTTATTTAGTGGGTAAGTATCAGGAATAACAAAGAAAAGCAAAGGTATGCACGAGTAGAAGAGAAACTAACTTAAATATTGAAAACGTAAAACTTACAGAGCATATTTTTAAAATAACAGAGCTATTGAGCTTGTCTGATATAAGTGGGAAGAGAATTCCAAAGACGGATAGTTTTGTAGTCATTTTTCTTAATTTTACGCTTTAATATTTGGGCGTACATAGCCCAAATATTAAAAAATGGTGTTACTATTAGCCAATGTTCCTTCTTAAAGCATTATTACTACCAATGTTATAATAGTTTATGTGTGTTTATTGTTGGTGGTTAAAATTATATTTTTATTTGTCAAAATAAACATATTTACACACACACACATACTTATACGTATGTACAATTTGAGTTGAGTTATTTTGTTATTTGAATTTTAAGACATAATTGACAAATAATGAAATAGAACCAACACACAAACCGACTATGAATGTAAGTAGTTAGTAACTTAGTAGTTCCCGTCTAATAGCTGTCGGCGGATACGAAGAAGTTACAAGAGTCTATTCAACGTATGATGCACTTTCATAGACGATAATTGACTATATCAAATACTCTATTCACTTTAAACTGGTTAATATTGGCCACTTTCAAAACTCCTCTTGTATTGATAAAAAAATATATCGTGCATTTGTTTCTCATTGCATATTAAGCGTAGTATAACGCACCTTTATTACAAATATATTTAATAAAATTAAAAATATATGTCAATAATAAATCTCCTGTCTGTTTTTCAGTTCTTCTGACAGTGTGATTTTTTGTTCTGCACACATAATAATATTAAGAATTTGTAGGACAATTTTATACAAGAATGAATATAATTTTTTTTTCTCTGGTATTTCCAAAAGAATACGAGTTATTTTACGTAGAACTTTTAAAAGTAGTAACTACCATCGAACAATAAACATTTTCTCTCAATCTCATTTTGAAAAAGCAAAATGTACTCATAATTATTCAATTTAAATTACAATTAATAGATTGTCGCTTAATTACGAAGTCATGCGGGATATAAAAGTAAATTACAATTAAGTTGACACTTAATTTGAAGTGATTTTTCATGGTTACGTGGGGAAGCTCGCCGGAATGAAATTACAAAACGACTAATAAAAATAAACAATTTTTTCCTTTTATGTAAAACTAAAAATTTAAATTAAACAAACGTTACGTGCTGTATTATGCATTTAGTTCATCAAAATCGAAGTAAATATTTGTTAAATATTTGTCAAAAGTTTGTGTTTATGTAAACAGTAAAGAAAGATTTAGAACAGCGCCATCTCTAAAACTTTGGTGAACTTATACCTTCCACCATCTTCCACTGAACTTCTATAATGGAAAACGATTAACTTCAAACCTTTTCTAAGAGATGGGTCTGAAAAACCAAGTGTCATAAATAATTGTTGAAGTGTGATTATTATTAATTAAATACAACGTATATATTATGTCGATATAAAAGCAGCTAAGTGATATACGTTTACACCCGTGTCATTTCTTACAGGGGAATAGTAGTCGATCATATTACTGTGCCCCCACTCGATACTAAATTTTTTGTTACCTGGAATTTTGAAACCAGAAACATTTATGCGGAGGCGGTTAGATATAAGTGAATTATCGGTTTAGTTTTTTAATTTCAGGGCTTAATTTAAAACTAAAACGTTGATATAGTTCAGTTGACGCAGTTTGATATTATTGTCTTTACATTATATCTATTATAGTTATTTTCTTTTTATTAAGGTTTTATAATGAACCGATAGCGACCGAAAAAAACCCAAAACCTTAGTAAGTTGTTGCATAGTGCTCCTCGAAAGAGAACAACTCTTTCTTTCAAAAGCCTCATACATTATCCAGCGCCTTACATTCTCGTCTCCCATTCGGCTAAGTGCACGTGTGGGCCGCGTTATATCCTCGTTAGGTATGGTGGAGTGTCAATTTGCTGGATTTATGTCGCATACCGCGCCCTACTACTTTCTGCGAGAGATTTATTACTTGGATCCTAACTTCTAGTAGCTTAGTTGCAGTACCGTGCGATACTTCACTCTGCAACGTCAAAGTAAGTTTATTTACTAACAAGACAACAGATACAATAAAAAAATACAATACTTACAGACTTGACACGGTAGTTCACGGTATGTTCAATTGGTTACAGCAACAGTTCGGAACGTTGTGGTTGCCGGTTCAAGTCCTGTCCGTGTCGTAAAATTAGATGTATGTCCTGTCCACCATTCAGCTTTTGTTGTACCTGGAAGAAAAGCAACGCCGATTTTGAGTGATGTTTGACTTTCGAAGTTGAACAGTAGTGGAGTTAGAAGAACATGTACAAATATATATACAAAAGACGCAATTATAATAAATATGGTGTCATTAATACACAATGTACCACACATGAATAATTTAAGTAAGAACAATAAAATAAAATAAAAAATGTTAAAAAAGAAAACGATAAAAACACATTTTTTAATTTTATTACTACGTTTATGATGTATAGAGGTTCCTGTTTTAAAATTAATGTTATTGTTGTATAGGTCACTGGATAGAAGATAAAATACCCAAGCTATTTAACGGTTTTGAACGTGCGCTGTCGACCTGTTTTGGCTTTAGATGCAGATATACACAGACTGAAACCGAAACGCGATTAAACTTCTCGGCTTCATCTGTGGATGGTAGTTTGTCACCCGGACTTCGATATTCCTACCTCCCATTTAATAGCCAGATTACCAGACAAGGTCCAATATGTTTCAGAAAAATTAGATATGGATTTTTGGATACACGTTTTGGATATCAAACCCACCCCTTGATTATCAGCCATACATTAGTGATTATACCAATAAGCCACAAGTTAGGTGATTATAATATCGCTAGTATCACCAAA